GTTCCAAGGCAATGTTTGGAAGATAAGACGACTGTTCTGGGAATATATAGAGACAAGACGCACAGCGACGCAGTGATGTAGGTCAGAAGTCGTCGTCAGACATTGATTTTATCACCAGCCATTACAGCAATGCCCAAAATACTGTGCATAATCAGTTTTGGTTTTTCAAAGTGATCCATCACAGTTCACCGCTGAGTCACCATTGAAGGGAACTTAGCTCTGTCAATAAGAAGATAACAAAGCAAGCTTAGCCAGATCATGCCGTACTAAAATAAACGAAATATTGTAATATGAAAAACATTTGCATGATAAAAATTGTCCACCAGGTCTTATAAACTAAACAAGCATTACCAAAGTAGTTGTGATGCACGCCCCTAAATAATAAGTTTGAGCATGACGTGATCAGATTACCACAACTTTAGTTTCTTTTCCATTATTTTAGCTCTTGTGTCAAGTACATTATTCAAGGCCTGCTGAACAATGCTTACAGTTGCCATAGAAACAAGCTAAGTACAGTATGAAATATCTCTTGTTTTTGTGCAGCATTAAAAGTGCTGTCTCTAATGTCATATGTGCTAACTACAGACCTGTCATCAGGACTCTGCTTCAGTTGTTTCTGGGCGTGCTTTGCCCCTTATGCTCAGCAGTCATTACCAAAACATCAAATAACACCTCACCGCTGTGTGCAAAAGTGTGAAAGATGTCACCTAAGAGGTGTGCGCCCGTTCCCCACAATTAATAGGCCTACTTTCTAAATAAGAGTCTTTACATAAGAGAAGAATATAAGCCATGAAGCACAAGGGCGAATCCGTTCCTCGTGTGAAAGTGTTGGGTAATACATCAGGGACTATAAGGTCCCGTCGGTGACATCCTCCTTCTGATCAGTGGTTATAGACGATATCTGCACAGGCCATTCTCAACAGGAAACCTAACTTCCTGTATGCAAATGAGATGACATGTTACATCACCAGGATATCAGATGGTAATATCATTGTCTAGAAGAAATCAAATGAGACAATTATTGAATGTGTAGCGCAGATCATTTGAGAAATTGGATGGGAAATGTTTCTGACTTTTGATTGGAAATCTAATCCCAGTTTAAATCATTACGGAGATCTCATTTTAAACTTTTTGGATATCTGGATAATGATAATTGTCTTCTGTAGAGCTGATGTTTAAATCAAATTGGTTTCAGAATTGATGAACTCAGTAGCATCGACATGAACTGAATCAACACTGAATTGACTTGAGCTGAGTCATTTCTCTATTGTCTTCTGTAGAGCTGGTTTCATAATGTGTGGCACTTTGCGCTATTATTGAACTGTAGATACAGTTCACTTCATAACTAAACGCACTTTGCGACATTCACACTGTTATTGAACTAAATTGAGTTGAATAATAATAACACATTTGAATTTTGCTGTTACACACATAATTGTATTTACTTTATAATTAATTGCATTGCAACATTTATACTGTTATTTTCTTATTTATTACTGTGAAGATGCATTGAAACACTCAGTATTTTGTGTGTAAGGCTGTAAAAATAAATGACTTGACTTTGTCAGGGTTTTTTTTTCTTAATTTTAATCAAATCTCAATATTCTCTTTTTCTGTAAAAAAAATATTTACAAGATTTGTTATCACAACATATTTTCTTTTGTCAAATCAACTTTATAATAATTTATTTAGTTGAGATAACTTATTATTTTGAGTTTCTGATGATTAAATTAATCTCCTTCATTGTATTAACTCACTTTGTCCAGTTCAATCAACTTAAAATTTTAAGGCAACCCAGGTTACTTACTTTTTAAAGTTAAACCAACAATATTTTTTTATAGTGTAGTAATCACATTTTTTCTTTTGTCAAATCAACTTAAATGATTTATTTAGTTCAGATAACATATAATTTTGAGTTTCTGATGATTAAATTAATCTCCATTGTATTAACTCACTTTTTCCAGTTCAATGAACTTAAAATTTTAAGGCAACCAGGTTACTTACTTTTTTAAGTTAAACCAACAATATTTTTTTACAGTGAGAATAGAAAAACTTTTAAGATATAATTGTTCTTATTAATTCTTAACACAATGTCTCATCAACTTTAGATAAATGTATTAAATAACATGAACAAACAATGAGCAATACATTTGTAACAGTATTTATTCATCTTTGTCAGTTGAAGGTAGCCATTGACTTCCATAAAAAACACTAGAAGTCAATGGGTCCATCAACTGTTTGTTCCCAACATCCTTCAAAATATCTTCGTACAACAGAAGAAAGAAACTATGAAAAGTAAAGAGTGAAGATGAAGAGTACATTATGAAATAATTTAAGAAAAAATGCTTCACAGAATAGTTCTTCTGTGGAATTAGTGTAAAAAGCCCTTCAAAATGAGTATATTCCCCTTTTCTCAGCATGTTGTCCCTCTACAGGGTATTTTCACAGCGTCTCAAACCTGCTGCGTCATGTAATGAGACCTGTAGTTGTGCGTGAGGACAGAGGAAATTTAATTATGCTAATGTCTGTAGACTATTCTAGCATACACGCTAATGGAAATCCATTATGATTGTGAATGCAAGGCTGAGAGAAAACCATAATCGCTGCAAGAAACAAACCGCCCGGACCACAAAGAATATTGCATTGGTATGTCATTTCTCATTTATGAATATATCTCATAAAATTCCTTAAAGGAGCATTTCACCCATTGCAACATTAATCCTTATGTCGTCGAAATGTAAAATAATTGTTTAATTTGGTGCCCTCTTGACCAAGAAAAGACCAAGGGGCGCATTTGTAATGAAGGACTACAAGTCCCACAATGCACCGCATTGCACAGCTCCACATTTTGGTAACATTAAAGCTATATCCTTCCTATTTGATGCACGACTTTCTAAATTATTAACATGATCATGATTGCTGAAAAACCTTTTATACACAATCTACTACATGCCTTCTGTCATTTGATTGACAGTTCATACTTTTTAAGCGAGGCCTTTTAGTAGGCTAACTAAAAATGTCCACATCTGGCATGTTTCTGTTGTGAACTTATAAATTATTGTTAATATTTCAACATTTACTGGACTGAAACAACTTCGATTTAGTTGATTGTATTCATATTTTTTTTTTTCAAAAAATCATGTTAAAATATAAGTATCAAATGATGTTTTGTCCCCCCAAATAAAAAATTTGAGCTTTAATCTTAAAACTAAGCATTTAAATAAAATCTTATTAAGATTATTGGACATAAAAACAATGTCTTGTGCTGCGTCACCATTGATGCACTGAACTGCTGATTCCAAGAAACACTGGCAGAGTGTTTTAGCACAGTGCAAACATGCAGACGTTCAAGAACTCGTATCGGTAATGTCATGGAACCAAAACCATTTGGTTCTGGTATTTTTTTAAATAGCCCTAATTAGCAGCCCTCTCAACTTTTGCACCGTCTTTCTTTCTGGTAATCGAGCATTATAGCATCATCAAAAGCATACTATCATTGTCCTCTTTTTGATGCTGCCTTTGTGCCTGGAGCCATTGTTACCCCACTGAGTGGTAACTGATATAATTAAAGCGTGGCGTCTGCCGCAAGACAGACATTTGCATGACTCATACAAGAGAGAGATTTCATGAGGAACAAAGAGATTTCATTGTTTTGACTTACACAAATATGATGACTGCAGTTTAATTCCCTGATGAATGCCTGACTAATAAGCTTAAAGTGTACAATGCATTTTTGGGAGAGAGAGAGAGAGAGAGAGAGAGAGAGAAACAAGCTGTCATACGGTTTGTAAATGCGCCATTCTGACAAAAACAGCACCCTTTCTTTCTTGATTTTGAAAGTGTGGTGCAACATCTACTGGCTGCTAAATGTATTGCCTTTGGTGAGGTTAGAGGCACAACAAAAAAAGGATAAAAAAGCTCTTATCTCTGTGAACGGACAATACTACGGAAGCCCTTTTGTGTTTCATAAGAAAAAGAATCCTGCTTTGGGACATAAAAAGTTGTACAAAGTGATAATTATGACCTAATTGTGACACAAAAAGTCAAAATGTATTAAGTTATAATTATGACATAGAAAGTAGCATTCATGACATAAGTCTAAATTATAACATTAAAAAGCTAAATATATGACCTAAAAAGTCATAATTGTGACGTCGTAATTATGACAGCCTACTAAGTCAATTATGAGATGAAAAGTAACATTATAAGACTTAATTAAGTAATTTCACTGAAATAAGTCGTTATTAGATCAAAAGTTGAAATTGACAATCAAAATAATACCATTTTTTTTTCAAAATAATGACCAAAAAAGTTTAAATTATGACACACTAAGTCAATTATGAGATGAAAAGTATCATTATAAGACTTCAGAAAAGGCCATAATTAAGTAATTTCACTGAAATAAGTTGTTATTAGATCAAAAGTTGAAATTGACAGTCAAAATAATAAAAAAATGTTCAAAATAATGACCAAAAAAGTTTAAATTATGACATACTAAGTCAATTATGAGATGAAAAATATAATTATAAGACTTCAGAAAAGGCCATAATTAAGTAATTTCACTGAAATAAGTCGTTATTGGATCAAAAGTTGAAATTGACAGTCAAAATAATATTTTTTTTATATACTAAGTCACACTCGAGATAAAAAATAAAAATGACATTAAAGTTGAAATCCTGAACTACAAAGTCATAATTGACAAAATTCGAACCTGTGACATGCCAAGTCATATTTACGAGATGAAAGGTTGAAATTATGACTTACAAAGTTATAATTATGACCAAATTGTGACAAAAAAGTCAAAATGTATTGAGTTATAATTATGACATAAAAGGTTAGAATCATTAGAAAGTTTCAATTATGACAATAAGTCATAATACCGGTAATTATGATTTACAAAAGCATGTTTTTTGTTGTGTGAACGCAGCCCAACAACATGCAATGTTATGTTTTTAATATTTTGCATTTTAGTGGATGTAGTGATGGCAAAATGAGACCCATTTTTTTCATCCAATAAACTTTATTGCATGCAGTTACACAGTCCAGACTTGCACTAGAATTTACACACAACCTAAACTCCACACTTAAGTACAAAGTACACTTGATTGACGCAATGCACTTTTCACAAAGCAGCTGCCACCGACCGTCACAAGCGCATGGGAGAGAGGCTTAAATCAGTGAAGAACCTTGAGATGAAAGATCTTTCCACAAACCACTCATGCATCTACATCGACAACAGTACTCAAGAGCAATACCTGAGGAGTACATGTAATAATAAAATAAACCGCCGCCATATAACAAGAAAGTGTTAGCTTTTGTTTTTTCTTATTGGCTACTTTTTTTAACATATATTTACAGCCACTCTATTATACTTATTCTGTACAATTTTTCAACTGACTACTATAAAACAAACACGGCCATAAATATACTCAGCAAAGTAATAACAATTGAAAAAAGCAGTAACAGTACAACGTTCATGTCAACAGTCCAGAAACAGTCCATGGTTAGGCACTTAAGACTGGAGAGAGCTTACAGCAATAGAAAGTGTCGTTCCAGCCACGGTTTGACATCTTTAATGATCGTAAAGGCAAACTAATGTACATTGTGTGTGTTGTTATACATGTAACTGCATCTTATCAAGTGACTGGATCCTCAGATAGCAAAAACAGCCTCACTGTATCAACCACATCAACTAATGAACCAAAGTCACTATATAAGGCTTTGTACGATTAAATGTTTATGGTACAAAATCTTCCAAAGCAGCAACCAAATGCACATTATTATTTCAGAGACAAGCAAAAAATACAACCAATCTCTCCATTTTACGGACAAGAAATGCGGAGACATGCAAATATTTTGGGTGGTGAGTGACGGCCCAGAATATACTCTACGCAAATATGTGATCGCAAACACTTTTAGCTACACCATGCAAACTCGGTTTCACAGTTTTGAAATGTCAATTCAGAATTCAACAAGAATGGGTTGCATTGCCAACACTGCCATAACAGCTATTTACTACTTCTTTTCGACAGCACTGCGATTGAATTACGGATGTTATTCAATATTGTAGACAAAAATCAGTTGGCACTAAAAACACATATTTTGGAGGGTAAGGACGGAATCAGTACACGAAATGCTTCATAAAATAGATGAACGAGAAACAGCAAGTGCTCTGTGCCATTGTGGTAAGATAATCAAGGTAAAAAAAACGCACCTTTAGAAAGAAAGCGCATGTGTAACAGAATATTGGATCCGTGAAGCTCTTAAAGTGACAGCAGCCTAATAAATCTGCTGCAGTGATTAATGTTAATCTAACAACAAAAGACAAAGATAAAATCACTTACTGCTCTTGAATGAATAACATTTGTAGTTTTAATAAGGATTAGCATTTTATTACTTTATTCAGTTTCTGTTGTAGACCATTACTTATTTGAATTCCACTTAGTACATCTTCCTAAAACACCTTAAAGTAAAGTTTATTTAATTAGCATTTTGGTTCTGTTGTATTTATTTGTCAGGTTTTTTTTTTTTTATTGTGTTGCTGTTTACTTGTCTTTAACTGTTTTGAGGCCCTTTTACTTACATTATAGTTAACCTAGTATTAGTTTTAGCTGAAGTATCCATACTTGTGAAATTTCACTGATATTCAAAATGACTAAATCATGAAATAAGGCTTTGATCATATCACCCACCAATAATACGGATTTCAATAGTGACCAAAATAATTGTGATTATGATTTCCGAGTAGCCCTACTCCACTGACTTCACTCCTATTGGTTGTCGCTCTTAATTGGCATAAAGTTAAACATATCTTAACTATGTCTTGACACGCATACATCCTATCGCCAATGGTCACTATCGCTCGTGTCGTCGTAAACTGCCTGCTCTCCATTGAAATGAATGGGATCATGTTGCTTTGTCGCTGTGAACCGGGCTTTTCTCTTAGGTGTATAGTCTTTTACAGGTCACGTTAATTGTCGCCAACGTATCTGTGCAAAGTATGTTTCTGGCCTCTGGATGGATGGTAATGAAATACGATTTCTATTAATAAAACAAACAAAACCCACACAATAGACATTAAAACAAATCAAGGAGTGTAAAATCCTTGTTTGGCATAGTTTGAAGAAGTTTAGTCCCTACCCCGTAAGGACTCACATGCTGTTGGGGTTGTAGCAGAGCATGTTGAGCTGCAGGTTTTCATCCCAGTGTCTGAGGATGATGAAGAGTTGATTGGCTGCGGCTTTGACCGATGCCAGGTCTCGGCCCTCTGGGATGATCTGTTCATTTAGCCACATGCTTGCTTTGGCCGCGATCAGCTCCCACTCGATGAAATAACTGGCTGAGCTGTGTTCCAGCCAGGCCAGAGCTACAGCAGTGGCCCACACCATCCCCTCGGTGTCTTGCACAGACCTTCGCAGGCTCCCGGGCGAGCCAGACAGGGGCGTCCCTATAATTTCAGACTCAGACCCTCGCCCGCTGTCGCACAATGAGTTGATGGGCGACGGTGGGGCTTCGGACGACATAGACGAGAAGCCGGACAGCAGCGAGGGCTCGCCATCCATCCGAGGGCTTCGGGACTGGAAAGAGGACGAGGACATGCGGGAAGCGAGCTCCTCACATTCAGAGTTCAAGTCTGAGTCTTTTGGAGGAGGTGAGGAGCCGCGGTGGACCTCCAGGCTCTCAGAGCGCCGGGACCCGGAGTAGGACACGTGGGTAAGGCTGATTCTGTGGCTGGTGAAAGGTGACGTCCACTTTAGCTTGTCTATGGGCACGTTGATGGCGTCACACAAGGCACTGTCCAACATGAACGCCCCACAGGACAGCTGCAATGACACCTGCAACAGGAAGTAGAAATGCTGTCTATTTAATCAGTTTTAATCATATAGACAAACTCAGAGATTGAACTTCAATGAGCAGTTTGAGGTCTTTAAGTATTGTCAATTATGCCTCAAAAATACGCTCTACTGAATTTGTTAAGCCTCATCATCATTTAATTCGAATAATTCCCATGACCCATATGTTCTACTCAAATAGAACATCTCATTTAACCAGACCTAGCAATTAGTAATGTAGTACTCGAGTCTGGTCTTGGACTCGAGACCGGTCTCGAGACCGATTTCTGCTTTCTCTGACTCGTCTCAGACTTGTTCCTTCAAAGACTCGGTCTTGACTCTGTCTCGACCCATCAAAGACTCGGTCTTGATTCGGTCTGGACCCATCAAAGACTCGGTCTTGACTCGGACTTGACTGTATTTGAAAACCAACGGAGTCGGTCTCGACTCGGACTCGATCCTTCAAAGACTCGGTCTTCACTCGGACTCAACTGTATTCAAAAACCAACGGACTCGGTCTCGACTCGGACTCGACCCTTCAAAGACTCGGTCTTCACTCGGACTCAACTGTATTCGAAAACCAACGGACTCGGTCTCGACTCGGACTCGACCCTTCAAAGACTCGGTCTTCACTCGGACTCAACTGTATTTGAAAACCAACGCACTCGGTCTCGACTCGGACTCGACCCTTCAAAGACGCGGTCTTGACTGTATTTGAAAACCAAAGGACTCAGTCTCGACTCGGACTCGACCCTTCAAAGACGCGGTCTTGACTCGGACTCAACTGTATTCGAAAACCAACGGACTCGGTCTTGACTCGGACTCAACTGTATTCGAAAACCAACGGACTCGGTCTCGACTCGGACTCGATCCTTCAAAGACTCGGTCTTCACTCGGACTCGACTGTATTCAAAAACCAACGGACTCGGTCTCGACTTGAACTCGACCCTTCAAAGACTCGGTCTTGACTCGGACTCGACTGTATTTGAAAACCAACGGAGTCGGTCTCGACTCGGACTCGATCCTTTAAAGACTCGGTCTTGAATTTATTTGAAAACCAAAGGACTCAGTCTCGACTCGGACTCGACCCTTCAAAGACGCGGTCTTGACTCGGACTCAACTGTATTCGAAAACCAACGGACTCGGTCTCGACTCGGACTCGATCCTTCAAAGACTCGGTCTTCACTCGGACTCGACTGTATTCAAAAACCAACGGACTCGGTCTCGACTTGAACTCGACCCTTCAAAGACGCGGTCTTGACTCGGACTCAACTGTATTCGAAAACCAACGGACTCGGTCTCGACTCGGACTCGATCCTTCAAAGACTCGGTCTTCACTCGGACTCGACTGTATTCAAAAACCAACGGACTCGGTCTCGACTTGAACTCGACCCTTCAAAGACTCGGTCTTGACTCGGACTCGACTGTATTTGAAAACCAACGGACTCGGTGTCGACTCGGACTCGACCCTTCAAAGACTCGGTCTTGACTGTATTTGAAAACCAACGGACTCGGACTCGACCCTCAAAGACTCGGTCTTGACTCAACTCTGCATAGGCGGTCTCGTCCCCCCAATCATGAGATATTGAACGGCGTTTGTTAAATGTCACCAGATCTATTAATCACTATACTTAAAAACTCCTGCCTTTGCTTGCAAGGTGAGTATTGACCGGCTATTTATGGTGAGTATTGACCGGCAAGGTGAGTATTGACCGGCAAGTGGATGCAATACCCTCAATGACATCATTTTTTGAATAAGTTTATGCTGACCTTTGAACATAAATTGTTTGTTATTATTGAATTGTTATATACTATAATACCATCCATTTAAAAGGTAAATGGGGGTAATTTCAATTTCATGTTGACTGTAAATCAGTTCTACTGAAGCCACAGAGGATCAACATCCTGAAAGCAGAATACGTCGACAGAAACCAGAGGGATGTAGTCCTTGTTGTCGTTTTCGCTCTCTCCCACGGAGTTGCTGAATTTGCTGTGTGACCGGCTCATGAAGCCCCTGGCCGCCTTCGTCAGCAGACGCGTCCTGCTCAGGCTCAGCTTGCTAAAGGCAAAAAGAAACAACCCCTTTTACTCCGGTGCCTCACTATCATCATTAATGCACAGGCACGTCTAAAGTGCTTTTTCTAGGTGAAATGTGCCTCTTCACATTCATTAATTTGCAAAGCATGTACACATCCCTGATAGCGCCGCTCCTCACGTTTTGGTCGTTAGTTCGGCTGACATTTCAAGTGACAGCGAGAGGTAAAACTGGGATAGAGATTCCAGACACGAAAGGGAAGTGTTTACTTTGGTGTCTGGACTACCATCCCTCTTTTGTCTTAAATATTGGTTTTATTTTCTTAACACATGGGAATTTGAATTGGATTAAGATCCAGGCAAGTTATCAAAGATTAATGCATTACATAAACTATTTATTTATCAAAGATCAAGTAAATCCAATTTTTTGCATATCCTAATTAATATTCATGAGCTAAGCCTACAGTATTGTGTGACATCACAACCAGAGCCCCACCCCCACAGCTTTACCCTGCATATGATGTCAACGTTTTAAACTTATTAGTTTGTGTGACTAACATTCTCTAATTTTCACACTTCATACATGCACTTAAACTCAAGAAGCCTCATTTTCTAAAAGACAATTGCTAGTCAATAGAACAAACACTCATTGCCTAAAGATACATTTTCATACTGACTCCTTTAATTGTAAGAAAACACTTCACATCAAACTGTAATGGTGAAATGATTTGGCTAAATACCTGTGTAGTGTTGTCAGACTACACATCTCCCGTCTTTTTAAATTTTTTTAATGACTAATGAATGTCTGTCTTCGGTGAGAGTTGAACTCATTACACGCACCCAACAGAATACCAAAAGCAATCAAAATGCAAATTCAACTCATGATTTAAAACAATGACGCATGAGTGATGCAAACTGCTGAATTATTCATTTGCGTTCTGTGAATTACAGTGTTTGTAATTGTAAAACTTGATTTGTAGACGTGGTTTGCTCTTTCCCCCAATCCGTTCCCTGTATCGACACCCACCTGGCGGAGAAAAGGCTCTCGACTGATCTCTGCGAGTGCTCGGAGGTCACCGACGGACTCCTTTGAGAGGCTAAAAGAGAGAACAGGTTGGTATTCTGATCATTTCTATTGCCCAACAACACACACACAATCACACAAACATATTACACTGCACTCCAACGCAAAGAGCACTCAAACTCACCCATGCTCCTCTAGGTCAAATCTAATTAATGAATTCAGTAACTATAAGCTTAAGTGATTAATGCTGCTGTGTTTGGACACCTGCACGTCTGTAATAACTGAAATAACCACATGAATACAGCCAGAATATAGAAAGAAAAGTACCTTCAGAAGAGCTACATCGTTCCCAACTGGAGGCGGAGGGAGTTTTGCAGAGGGATCGGGATCCATCGTCAACATCTGTAGGTCAAAGAAGAGTTTTATGGTGCAGACATGAGTCCTTTTGACGTCAGAGTTTAGACATAGTATGTGAATCTGTGAAAAATCCCCAAAAGCATACACTGTCAGAAAAAAAGGTACAAAAGCTGTCACTGGGGCGGTACCTTTTCAAAAAGATACACTTTTGTAACTAAAGGGTGCATATTGGTACCATAATTGTACTAATATGTACCATGAAGGCACCAATATGGACCCTTTAGGTACAAAAGTGTACCTTTTGAAAAGGTACCGCCCCAGTTACAGCTTTTGTACCTTTTTTTCTGAGAGTGTATGCTAGACAATCAAGATATATGACATTTATGACTTTAGTCCAAGTTATTCCAAGTATTTTTAAACATTTCTGACCTGTCAACAAACTGCTTGGGTACCTCAGCATGGTGGCAATGACAATAATTCAATTTAATTTCAATCAACCGAAGCAATGGCAAACATCAAATATGTTAATGCATTAAGCAGTTTGATAAAAGTATTTTCATCTCAATGCCAATATATTTTCAAGATTATCTGACCCAAAGTCTAATGACTGCTTAAGTTATAAAATCAAATCTATGAGAACTTTGACCTGTTAGTTGCACTAGAGAGTTTAAAATAGAGTCCCTAAATTGGGTATGAAAAAACTATTTAATAAGTGTGCTAAATTTCATAACTTTTTAATCCAATTTTCTACTCCATGGTTTGATCCCAGAGGATCAAACCATGCAATATATACATCAGTAATTCCTCACTTGTAAATGAGCCCAACATTCAGTATTTTGTCTTCAGTCTTACTGTGGGATAGGTCTGCATCATCTTGCCCAGACAAACCTCCTGACTGTGACCGACCGAGACCTACAGAGTAGCCACGGGTCTTCCTGCTGCCGGAACGAGACCTGCAGTGCGAACTTCGTTTATGATCCTCCCCTAGAGATAAACAGATATACAAAGAGTCATTACCATAATCTAATTGTGTGTTTAAGCCAGGAGCGACTGCTTCATTTCCCTGCGCTCTCCTTTGTTTTCTTCTCCCTGAGAACAGTTGACGTAATGATTGCAACCACCAGGTCTTGTAAGCTCAGATGAGATGAATTAGGAGAATGACTTACCAGGGTGGCTATACTCAACGCAGGTGGGTAGATATTCATTGCTGTCCAGATCAATAGGTACAAACGCTGTGTATTTGCTCAAGATGTTGCAGGCTTTACTCGTGTGGATAGCATAAAGCTGGTACCTTCTCCCAGAACCTGCAAGAAACGTCATAGTAAACGGCAAGTAATGCAAAAAAAAAAATAACTGGTAATTACGAGTCAAGTTCCTCACCATGCTCAATCTCACACTCTTTGTCCACCATATGTTCAAAGTCTTGAATAATGGAGCGTCCCGCCAGGTGATGGAAGGTTTCGTTCCACAGGTCCTCGTGAACTTTTTCCTCCCGCTCTCGACCTTTTAGGTAGGGTTGAATGTCAAAGATCACCTCCCATTTCATGGGTTTCCCGCACAGCAGTCCTGACACGACCGCTTTGCAATCTCCCTTTCCATGACTGGCCCTGAATTCTGGTGCGTGAGGATCTTGGGGCGTTTCGACTTCGCAAAGCTGATGCGTGTAGCCATCTGTTCGATAATAAAAATGATAATCAGAGATAGTATTAACAGATGCATTCCCCCATGAAAAACATCATAAACCAGCTGGTTAAGTCATCTTCAATGACTTAAATGAGTATGTTTAAACTGTAAAAAATAAAGCATTGCTTGTTTTGCTTAACACTGCTAGGTCTGACTAGAGCATGTTTTGGATGGATATTCTCAAAATCGACTAGTTGGTGGTTTGTCTAAATCCTTGCCCAATCCTTTTCCTGTAGATCTACTTGCAGAGTTCAGTAATTAGCTAGTTCAGTTGTGTTTGATCAGGGCTTCAGCGGTCAAGGCTAGAGGTCAACTTTGCAAATGGAGCTTGAGGGAAGTAAGTTTTAGCGCAATGCCACGCTGAACAATACGCAAATTAGGTAATAGGTAACCTCACAAAAATGTTACAGGGTACCCAAAAATGTTGAGGAATGCGATTAACATTGAAACATAATGCTTATTAAATAATATTTAAAGATTTTATTGTTTATGTGTTCATATTTAATAAATACTTAATTAATAAATAAATAAATATAACAAATACTACTGGCTTGAGGAATACGATTCCCAACAAGAAAAAAATGTTGCTTGTAAAATGGTATTTAAAAATATTTAATTATTTAAATGTCAATAATATTAAATAAATAATACTATTCAAATAATAAATAATATTTTTGACTTGAATAAAACCAGTTTAACTTAAAGTATACATTTTAGGTAAACCTCACAAAAATGTTACAGGGTACCCAAAAATGTTGAGAAATGCAATTAACATTGAAACATAATGCTTATTAAATAATATTTAAAAAATGTATTGTTTATGTGTTCATATTTAAATAATAAATACTATTGGCTTAAGGAATACGATTACCAACATGAAACAAATGTTGCTTGTAAAATGGTATTTAAAAATATTTAATTATTTAAATGTCAATAATATTAAATAAATAATACTATTCAAATAATAAATAATATTTTTGACTTAAATAAAACCAGTTTAACTTAAAGTACAAATTTTAGGTAACCTCACAAAAATGTTACAAAGTACCCAAACTGTTCAGCAATGCTTAAATGACTAATCGAAGAGCAATTCTTGTTGCAGTTTTATTGGCTAGTCAGTAGATGTAGGTTGTAGCATCAAACACACTGTGAGATGATCATGCTAAGAAAATGATCACGGGTTATCTTTGGTTGTAAGACCATGACAACAGCCATATTTGAACATCTCTTACTGTCCGACGTAGGACCATAATTTAGGAGCCATGACCTGAGAGGTTCATGTGGCAATTCAGCTTTGCCATCGCAGGAATAAATGACATTTTAATTATAAGACATTAAATAGAAAACTCTAGCATATCCCTGAAATAGCCGAAGGAAGCTATTCTAAAAAATATGCATCAAATTATTTTTCCACACTTTTTTGACCATTGACTTTTTCACGGTCTTTCCAGTCAAAATTTCTAAAAATCCTTTTATACAGTAGTTTTCTGGGAAATTCCATAAATGTTTAATGTTTAAATTTACAATCATCCACAGTGTGACCTTCAATGGACAGACTGATATTATCAGCACTGGCTTATGGGCGAGTTTTTACTCTTCAGAAGGAGTGATATCTAGCTGATGAAAAATGTTGAAGCAGTTCAAAAGTGGAAAAAATCACTTTATAATTTTTCTTTTTACAACTACAACCTATAATCTCCTCATGAATCAGCTAATAAGTCGGCGCTCAGAGTATATGTTAAGTGTCTCTACGCCCCCACACTGTGCAGCTGATTGTGGTATTTGAATTACAGTGTTAAAAGTCAGCTTAAGCACTAAACAGCGCTTAGATTAACATCAGGAATTGCCGTCTTTGACCTTGCACTTAGGCACTGCAGTGAAGGACTAACCTGCATCGCCGGTGCTGCCTAGAGAAGGGCTGTCCGTTGAAGACCTGGAGCCGTCTTCCACTACGGGACCCTGTGCAGAAGTCCACTCCACCTTAGACTCCCCCTGGAGACCCTCGTGTTGCTGGACTGGAGGTTTGTGAGCAGGGATGGGACGTCCTCTTGAGGATGTGGCACACAGGCTGGCCAACTGTGGCTTTTGGAGAAAAGAGCAACAGTTCATTAGTCGTTTTGTTCACTCTCACTCTCCATCTTGGCAAGGCCACTCTATTTGAGTGGAACTAAAATGCAAGATGGCCATCCACTGTTACCTACATCTATCTGTATTTATTGTTTTTTAATATTTAGATAATCAAGCTAGCAATATCTCCAAGTCACAGTGTAAGATTATGGGAAATTCAGCAGTCCCTCCAGGATTTCACAATTTTTTTTTGTGATTTTTGCGATCAAAATGACTGATTTTGTGGTGGTAATTTCCACAAATTTGTGAAAAAATTTGCGATTTATATATAACATTTACCATAATAGTATTCAGTCCTTCCAGAAAAACGCAGAGTTTTTTTGTGATTGTTGCGGGCAAAAATTTATTGATTACGCGGTAAACTACTGGCAGCTGTGGTTGCCAGCATCATACCGTAAATTTATGCAATTTTATGCGATGAAAATGCAGGAATTTGCAAAAATTGAGGGAACTTGCAAAAATTGCGGTTTGATGAAAAAGAGAAAAAAAGTGATTCCCCCAACATCCTGTTCTCACTAGGCTAATGTAAGAGTCATTTCCTATTACTTCCTTTGATAAGCAAGCATACTACATCATAGAAAGTGCTGGGAATATTTAATTTCTCATCTTGTTTTATTTAGCAGATTCCTTGTTGCATCTTAAATTGGTGGTTTGTCATGTATTTTAATGCATTACACTTTCTAAAGGTGTATTTAATAAATAGATAAGCATTATAATGTATTATAACTGTGGTTATTCAGATCATGTAATACATTATAAGGTGCATTACAATGCATAATTAATGCTTTAAAAATACTTTATATATAAAGGCTTTAAGTAAAGTTTTACCGTAAATTGATTGGGAAAAGTACAACAATCTTTATTCATTTTACTTTTTACTTTGAAATCTGCAGACCCCATACACAAATATAATATAAATGTATAATATCAAACATTTATCAGCCATAACTAAATTCTAAATACAGGTATATTCAATCATAATAAAAATAGGCATTTTAATATTTAAAAAAAAAAAAAAAGAATTTGCAAAATATTCAAATGTAAATACCATTATTTAAATATGGTAACATTTAAATCTATTTAAATATTACCATATTTAAAAAAATATATAATAAATAATTATAATTTAAATGTCAACATCAAAACAGCTATTTTGTATGTTTATTGAGCTTATGAAAAATATCTCGATGCCAAAGTAGTGGTGCTAATGTTGACACCAATGCTGACAAGTGTGATTGTGTTTCTATGCTCACGTTGAGCATGCAGTTTTTCCCTGGTAATTTCCATTATGAATGCAGTGCATAGCAAAAGGAAAACCAATTTATTTCACCTTGTGTAGAGGGAGTTTATGAACACAATGATTCTTTGAGGCGCCTTAACCATGCCAGCTCCTATAGCCGTGGCTTTCTGTTTACCTGGGTCTACTGGCAATTTGTATAATGAGAAATGTATGCCTGTTAAAGAGCTACAGTAATAAGGATCATTAAAGTCATTATTGCATCCATTAAGGGGAAATCAAGGACTCATCTGTAATAACTCACTCCCTTTCTGATCAAACTTCGCCTGGATTATTGATATCTTCTCCCTATTCAGAGAGTGTGACATTGGAAATTTTATCATGGTCATCAAGGGTTTTGTCACAGTTGTCAGAACTAATTGTACCCTGGAAGATGAACATAAGTGGCTGGGTGTTCGATATGTCTCTTGGCAGGGTGTCAGCAATGCGGGAGTATCACTGAACTCACTGTATTCGTCATGAAATAAGTAGTAAAAAGTTGTCAGCAACACTCTCAGAAAACAAATCAGTAGTGGTATTTGATTAAAAATTAAAAAGTAGTAATTATGACTTTAGTAAACCCAGTTTAACTTGTGTTACCACATGAAAGCACATTTTTAGGAAACCTGAGTTACAGGGTACCCAAAATGTTGAGGAATGCAATTAACATTGAAACATAATTCTTATTAAATAATATTATTTTTTATTGTTTATATGTTCATATTTAAATAATAAATACTATTGGCTTGAGGAATACGATTACCCAAATGTTGCTTGTTAAATGGTATTTAAAAATATTTAATTATTTATATTATTTAAATGTCAATAATATTAAATAAATAATACTATTCAAATAATAAATAATATTTTTGACTTGAATAAAACCAGTTTAACTTAAAGTATACATTTTAGGTAACCTCACAAAAATGTTACAGGGTACCCAAAAATGTTGAGGAATGCAATTAACATCGAAACATAATGCTCATTAAATAATATTTAAAGATTTTATTGTTTATGTGTTCATATTTAAATAATAAATACTATTGACTTGATGAATACGATTACCAACATAAAAAAATGTTGCTTGTAAAATGGTATTTAAAAATATTTAATTATTTAAATGTCAATAATATTAAATAAATAATACTATTCAAATAATAAATAATATTTTTGACTTGAATAAAACTAGTTTAACTTAAACTACAAATTTTAGGTAACCTCACAAAAATGTTACAGGGTACCCAAACTGTTCAGCAATGCTTAAAATAATTGTTGAGCAATGCTTAAATGAATAATCGAAGAGCAATAAAAAGTACTGTAGTCTATTAAGAAGCATACAAGCATCTTTAAGTCTCACGAGAAGGCCTGATGTAAATAGAAAGGGTTTTCCTTGGCCGTTCAGCTCAATTGTCATGCATGAAATGAGTACGGCCGTCATTATGAGACACAAAGGATGCACACCTCTCTGTTGTGCTTTTGATTACACACTAATCTGTCTCTAAGTCAGAGATATTTTGGGCCTCATTATTTCAGCCCTGTTCAAACACCGGCACATCTTTGCTGATGGGTCACAACCTTTTTTTCTCCCACTGCACTTCAAAGGTGCATTTCAGTGTGTGGGTGCATATTACCAAAGTGCCCACCTCATTTCTTAGAAAGCATTTGTCCTATGTTTTACATTCTTCTGTTGCTTAAATGTCCTGGAAACTGTAATTCATCTTCCACTGGCTGTTCCATCTAAATTCTATTTGTGTGGATGTGGCGGTAAGAGCATTGAATTATGAATTACATTCTCATCACCGAGCTCAGAAATGAGTTCAAATAACCCTTCAGAATGAACAAATGAATCCATGGGGCTCCTTTTATATCACAGCAGATGCTTCGGCTATAGCAGATGGCATGAAGACGGCTGCCTACAGATATTTCTTCTAAAGGAAACAATAAACCGTCTGCTTTGTGTCAAACACACGTGCACAAAGGAGATTACAGAATACAGATGTTGTCTGATCATTTCCAAGAATAATGTTTATGGCATATACTCAGGATGTGTACTGTATTATAAGAGTATAAATGTGAGTTACAGTATGTAATCAGATTACTTTTTCAAGTAACTAGTAAAGAAACACATTACTTTTGAATTTACAAGTTACTTTTTCGAATAGGTAACTCAAGTTACTTTGTTTCCCCATTTATGCATCTCACCTGTCCCCATATTGAGAGAAAATCGGGAAAAAGGTGCAAATACTTTATGTATTTAATCTCACTTCATTGACCAACGTCTTTGCAGCTGACCTTTGAGGATAAAATTCAACCATTTTAAAGTAACACTATATAGTTTTTCAACCTTCATAATATATTCCCAAGGCCCTTGTGATGGTACATCGACTTACAATAGGCTAAATGACACGTCTGCCATAGCCTGACGTGGTCTGTATCGCTTTTACTTGCACTATGTAACTTCATTTAAAAAATCAGCTCTGATTAAGATTAAGATATTTTTAAGTAACCTATGCAGCGTGAGTGTACTTTTTTAGCAAATACTTTGTACATAGCCAATTGTTTGTATTGTACTGTAGTTTGACTACTTTAAATTGTTAAAATTACTTTTCACAGTAGCTTCCCCAATGCTAATGCTATAGACACATTTTTTAAATGCACACAAAATGAAACTCGCATTGCATTTGCGTTCACATATTTGCATAGCACATGCATCAGGACTTATCCTGTAGCATTGACCTGTACCTGGTAGTCCATTTTCCACTGAGCTCCGTAGTCAGGATGAGTCTGACCGATGAGCTCTTGGACTTTTGCTCGTCTCAGTGGGTTTTTCCCCACCACGGAGCTGGGGTCACTGGGGGTGTAGGCCTTCTTCATGGGGTTGTAATCTATGATCTGATTGGTGCTATAAGCACGTCTTCTCGGCGAGGTGCTCGTGTCAGTTCCTGTACAAAAGAAGGAAAAAAAAACTAATTTGACACATTTTCTCTTTCATTTCCTCTTTGCTGACTATATTCCTTTATTCTCTTTCATCAGGAGACTTTAAAGAATAGTTCATCCAAAAATGAAAAATCTGTAACACTCAAGTCGTATAAAACCGTATAAATTTTACTTACCCATAACGTCTTGCTCTGTGGCAATAGGACTGCTCTCAGACATGGTCTCTTGGCAACCGTCAAACAGCGAGCCGACTTGATTGTCCCTGTGTGGCCCCTGAGCGTCACAGTAAACCTTCCCAGCATCCTCCTCTTGAGAGTGATAGAACACGGAACTGGTGGACTCGTTGGAACGCATCATGCTGTACCGTCTCCGTTTGTCCTGTGACAACAGAGAAAAGATGTTTAGAAGGTGGGAGCTTTTTATTTCGGCCTAAAATCTATATTTACATTAACAAACATTATATACTAAAAACTATATATATATATATATATATATATATATATATATATATTTTAATTTATTATTATTATTATTTTTTTTTTTTACAAAACTGTTGTTGTTTTGGTATATTTGATATTATAATATATCAATTTTTTATATATATTTTAAAATAATATAATAAAAATAAATAAATATAATATTGAATATACACAAAAATATCAAAATTATTACTATTATTTAAATAGACAATATTGTTATTAATATAAAAATTTATCAAATCGTGATATTATAATATCAAATATAAAATTAAAACAGCAACGGTTAGCAATCTAATTAATCAATACACTAAATACTAAAATATACTGTATTTTATATAATATTAAATGTACGCAAAACAATTATTATTTAGATAGATAATATTATTAATTTAAAATATACTGTATTTTAATATAACATTGAATATAAACCAAACAAAATACGGTGTATTTTAAATTAATAATATTATCAATCTAAATAATAATAATATTAATCTAAATAATAATAATAATCTGTTTTGTGTATATTCAATATTATCAAAAAAGATCACATTTTAAAATAATATTATCAAATTAATTAAAATAATTATAATTATTGTTATTAATAGTGGTATGAAAATTGTTTAATAATCACAGATTGTATATTTCATATTATATTATATAGAAATTTAACATAATGACAATATTAACAATAACAATATTATAAAAATAATAATTATTATTATTCATAGTATAAAAATATAGTAAAATAATTACATTTTAACCATTACTGTGTTTTTTAGTGTATACTTGTTATTATAACATATCAAAATAGAGTATATTTTAAAATAATACAAACTATCTATCTAAATCATAATAATAATAATAAAATATTACTATTATTTTAGATTTTTTGTGGTGTTGTGTGTGTAATAATCAAAATATTGTATAATGGTCAAAATATTAATCTAAATAATAATATTAAAATATAATTGACTAATTATGGACGGATAACCTACTGATTTGGGGTTGGAGTGATATCGGGAGGTATCACACACCACACTGTATCCAATCAGCCGGTCACCGGGGAACAGACAGGTCGCTCCCACGGGAGAGAGCAGGATCTCTTTCGTCTCTGGATACAGCCACTCAATGGAGATGTCAGTCAGAACGGATGTCATGGACTTCTTCAGCGACTTAATCATCTGCCAATGACACAAATAACAGCCAGTTCAAATACCACCCTAGTGAACTTAATCAAGGAAATATACGTACTCTATACAAATAAAACAGGAAAATACATAGATGCTAGTCTTAAACATCAGGGAGAGAAGGAACAAACGTGAAATGTGCTGTCAGCTTTGATTATTATCCTAATTCATGTTGAATTAAACAAAACAGATTGTTAATTGCTAATACATTTGGGCACTCCACAGGCTGTAATTGCTTTGCGGTGACATTCAAAATAACAGGCTGTTGCGGTGGAAGATAAACATGTCAGAGGAAACGAAGACCTTGGGCTGCAGTCGTTCCCCTTCTGCCAGGAACTCAGCTGTGCCTCTGGAAACAGCAGACAGTCCCAAAACCAGCCTCCTGCACACACCCTGACCTATGCCGAACGTGTAACACCTGCCATGATGCAAACACACACAAACAGAGACAGGACAGGTGCGGTGAATCAATGAAAACATCAGAAGAGCATCAAATAATGAAGAAAATGCATCTCAAATCAGTGACGCTCTTCCAGATAAAATCCATTTAATTCTCTGAGATGGTTTGCTTTGCTAATTCTGAGTCTGGTGAACGAACTGTCAGAAAGCCAGGAAGCATCTTATTCATATTTTTTAGTAGAATAATAAGCATCAAATCTTTTTCAGCAACTCTCTGTCTCCTCCAGACATAGACAGGTGCCTTCAAAGGAAGCATCCAAACTGAGTCTGACTAGGAATGCTCTAGGCAGCAACTGGATATAGCATTCAAGTACACACAGAGGCTTACTACTATGCTGAAAAACTGTTTTAACCAGCCTGAACTGGTCTTACAAGGTTTCATGGTCTTAAATCCTGCAAACAGACCAGCTTAGGCTGATTAAAAGAACTAATTCCAATACAGTTTCATGTTAGCATATTGCTAAGCTAACAACACAATATTATAATTATATTATATTATTTACTGTATTTTATTTTTATTATTAGGATTTTTTTTATTCCAAACTGTTTTAATTATTCTGATTTCTTTTGATTATTTTAATTTCTTCCATGTAAAGCACTTTGAATTGCCACTGTGTATGAAATGTGCTATATACTGTAAATAAACTTGCCTTGCCTTGCCTATAATGAGTATAAAATAACTAAAAATACGGTTTAGGCATTTGCAACCAAAACCTAGTTACTAATATTTTGAAGATATTTTATAACACAAATTTCTCTACAATCTCTAGATTTTGGGCTAACTGGGGTAGGGTCTGTAAAACACCAGATCTAATGCACACTATCTGAAAGCAGTAGTAATTGAGTGACCTTCAGCATAGGCAGCAACATCTGCGGCTCACTGCGAATGAGATACAAGGTGCACGGCTTGCTCACTGCACTAACGGGGAAAACATCTGTCCATTTTTCTAAAATGTGGACTGGCGATCTTCCCTAACAAGCAAAGAAAGCCGAGTCGTGTCCCCACAGCACGAAATGAAGTGCAGTAAGACACAATTGTGATTATTCTCAATCATCTGGGGAGGGCGAGAGTTGTTTAAGGCAGTAAATTACACTGCAGTGTCATTTCCCAGCCATCATCTTTGTGTCTGACCTCAGCTTGTGTCTATTGTACTGTTAAAACCTACGGTTTCTTCCGTTCTTTTGAAATAAAGCTATTGTTGCATCTGCTCTAAGAGGACGAGGAAGAAAAGAAGTATTCCTCTCAGGTGAACATCTCGGCATGTGACAAATTGATTGGAGGAGGGAGACGGAAACCCTTAGAAAGCAACGGACTGCAGAAACTAAACCTGTGAATACCAGCAGCGTTATGGCTAGTGCGGATTAGAGAGAGAGACATCAATTTACTGTCGCTAGCGTCTGTGCTGATCTGATTATGATCTTATTACCCGAATAGCTCAGCAGCTCTGTATCCTTGAACCTGTGATATTAAAGGATTAGTTCATCCGAAAATGAAAAATTTGAATCATCAGACATTTAATCAGCAAATCATTTCAAATGCATATTGCTTTCATCTGTGGGAAATAAAATTGGATATTTTGAACAGAAGACTGAGTTAGTTTCAGTGCAGCTTCAAAGGGCGACACCAGATGATGAATAAGGGTCTTATCTAGTGAAACGATCGCTCATTTAAAAAATACATTAAAAAGTTTACGTTTTTATAAGCACAAATGCTTGCCTTGCTCTGTTCTGCGATCAGCGCTCGTGACTCTCCTGTTCAAACTCGTTCATCAAAATGAACAAATCTTTTTTCGAGTCATGACTCGAAGGGTCCTTGATAAGACCCTTATTCATCGTCTGGTGTCGTTTAAAGCCATTTGAAGCTGCACTGAAACTCTCATTTGGACCTTGAACCGTTTGGTTCCCATTGAAGTCCATTATATGGAGAAAATCCTGGAATGTTTTCATCAAAAAATTAATTTCTTTTCGACTGAAGAAAGAAAGACGGTGAGTAAATTATCAGCAAACGTTTTTTGTTAAAGTGAACTACTCCTTTAATGCCTGTTTGCATTACTTTGCCAACATATTATCCTTCTTTATTGGATCAATAGTTAATGCACAAAAATTTCTAATCGATGTAAAGCCTTTACTTTATTTTAAATATTTAAGTGGAATCGTGACTCAATTTCAGGGTTCGGAATCAGGATTATTATTGTTAACCTTTGTCTGAAATAAAAGAAAATATAAATATTAGATGAAAAACTCAAACTTTATTTTATTTTTATTTTATTTCAGTTAGTTGCCAAGGCAAATTTTGAAATAAAAATAAATTAAAGCTAAATAAAAAAGCTAAAACTTAAACTAAAATTAACCAAGAGATGGTTTTCAAACTCATTAGCGAGTGCTACATGATATGGGTCTTAAATGCAATGTAACTTTAGATAAAGTGTCTGCCAAATGCATAAATGTAAATGTGCAAACACTGACCTGGTGAACCTGGCGTGGCTGCGGAGCAACTCAATGACCTTCCCCGTGTTACTGACGGCTCCGTCGGTCAGGAGGAAGAGCAGGCGGGGATGACCTTTCTGCATGGGCTGCCGTAGTATCCAGTTGAGAGGAGCCAGTATGTTTGTGCCGCCCATGTCAGCCCGGATCTTCTTCACGTGTTCGTAAGCCAACACCAAACTCTCCTGTGAAATAAATTAGGTTTGTCAAAGGGTAATTTAGAACTGGCAAAATAAGCTTACAATAAAACATGTGGTACAAAGTTTTTTTCTTTTTTTAAATATCTGCTACCTGACTAGTGTAAACTCTTTCAACACCCATAATGCACTGGGCATGTTGTCGGCCAAGGCCACTGGCTCCTATTGCATAGGCTTGACCAGTCAAATATTACCTTGCTTGAGTAGGAAATACTACTTAGCAAACTTGTAGTAACAATGGTGTCAACTTGTCTTGTTGCGTTTGAAAGAAGAGGAATGGGGAGTGACCACACTGACATTGTTTGCTATTATATCAACAGTGAATCTTTATTAGATTTATGCTTAAAAGAAAAAGAAAAAGATATTTACCACAGAGACATCTGAATAAGCAGTCTTTTTATGGATTATGAAATCAGAAAGAAACTTTAATAGAAATTAAACCCAGACCTTTGCCAGTGGATCCCAGCAGAAAAACACAAAAATCGAGTGTCTTGAGCGTCTCAGTGTAACTGGCGATCTAATGAGGGCAGGGATTGAGGACGCTGACTGCGGGACCCTGTGGGTGACCTACCTCATCGTAGCTCTGACTGGTGGCAAACAGCGTTTTGAACTTGGATCCGAAGCCTACTATGTTGAATAAGCATGCTGGAAAAAGACTTTTCAGTATCACGACCATTGCGTCCTGTGAACACACAAAACGTAAAGGTCAACGTGAATGAAGGTGGCAGAGAGGCAGGTTATCTTATCTAGATAATGTTAGATAATGAAGATCAGATGAGGAAAGAGGAGGATCAGATGGGAATGAAAAGAGGAGGTAATATACAGTATATATATATATATATATATATATAAATTGTAATTAGGTATACATGTGTGTAAATAAAAAGTAAGTAAAAATATTTTAAAGAAAAGTTTTCCACTTTATTTTTTAAGTTAGACAAGATTCAAAAACAAATGAGTTGAAATTTTGTATATATATTTTACATTTTGTATATATATAAATACATTTTATAAATACATTTTGTATGTATGTATATATATATATATATATATATATAAATACAAACACATGCATGTATATTTAAGAAAAAAAAATTATATATAAAATATTTATATATAATATAAATTATATATAAATCTATACACAGTATATTCATGAAAATATTTCTTAAATATATACAAGCATGTGTGTGTATTTATATATATAAAATAATTATACACAGTGCACCCACATATATTATGTAAACACACATTTTTATTTTGGATGCGATTAATCGCGATTAATCGTTTGACAGCCCTAATATATATATATATATATATATATATCAGGTTTCATTTGACATCCTCATATTGCTTTAATAATGCATAACAGCCATTACCAGATATTCTAGTAATTTGCCATGTGACATTTACATATTATTTAAAGCAACTCTCATTAAACTAATTGCAGGGTTACGTGCCATGCTTAATGGCAGGACTGTACCCATCATAGACACTGAGGGTGGCATGTTCCTACAAATGTTTAGTTAGACTAGTGGTCGATCGCTAATGGCTTTTCAACTGTCACCCTTGTTTGGATTGAACCAGCAATCTTTGTCATCCAGACCTGATGCCAATAGACAGCACTGCATATTGAACACAAGAATCCAGGCCTCCATTGTGTTTCATCTAAAGTGGTATGATTTATAGCGCTGCTTTTCGACAGACTGACAGCGAGTACAGCAGTGGGTAATTAGCATGAGGCTAGAATTAAGTTTGTAAATATGAATGTGATTATTAAAGAAGAGTTTTAGCCTTTTTTGCCGTTTTTACAATAATGTGGTCTTTTGAATGATTAAAAAAAATGAATCACCAATTTTTTTTAAAATTTGCATAATAAAACAAGTCCAGCTTTTCAGAGCACTTCCTTACACATTCAAACTGAACTCAAAACACAATTATAAAATATTTTAGTTCTTAAAGAGATAGCTAGTTCACTTGAAAATTAAATTAGTAATTTACTGTGGAACACAAAAGGAGAACTTTTGAAGAATTGTATTTCCCCCATGCAATTATAAAAGAGTGGCTTTCAAGGTTTAAAGGCTCAAACCACCATACACAATATTTTAAATCTTCTGAAGTCCAACGACAGCTTCGTATCAGAAACTATGAATCGCTTAAAATGTTTTCTCAAGAGTATAGATGGATTTTCAATTAAAAAACCAGACTGGATGATTCATTCACAGATTCATTTCTCCAGTTCAACTCACTAAATTTCTACTTAAATTTCAGTTTGTTCCTCACACAAGTCATTTGAATGAGTGTGAATATAGCAGATCATTGCATATTACATACTTTTACAATACTTTGATGGTGCTTTTGCATCTTTATTGTCATTTTGAAAGTCATTCACTGTCAATTCACAGCAAAGATGACAGCACAATTTTTCAACATTTCTGCTTTTGTGATACACGGAGGATAAAGTCACATAAGGGTGAGTAAACGATAGCAAAATGTTCATTTGGGTGAACTATTCCTTGTAATAAATGTATCTTCCATTCAGTTTAACTGGATACATCTTGCTGCTGTCCTCTTGCACCCCACCATAATGTAAATATGACATTTCAGCAGGGAGCAAGTCTTCCTCAGGGTCAAGGATATTCTGGGATGATATTATTGCTAGAATGACCTGAGCCTTTACATTAGAGAGGCATTTGGTGTCTGTGGTCAGAAGGGGAGCATCCTCAATCAAAACCACAGTGAGTCATCTCTGCCTCGTGCGTCACGCTGCACAGACCCGTCCACAGAGGACACACTCATTCACACACATCCAATCTCAGCATGGAGACTTACCAAGTTCAATTATCGTAGCGGCTTGAGCTACTCAATCGCAACAAGCTGGCTATTTCGTTCAGAGCCCCTTCAACAGGCTGCTCAAATGGTGTGATTGTTCAGAGCACATGATGTTGAATAAAATATGTCTTTATTTCAATGTAGCAAGAACAGTAAAACTAAACAGCTACATGTAACTAATCTCATTCTAAAATGCTTAATCAAGTCCCCATATGGCTTTTTGCATCATATATAAGGATACATTTGAACAAATATGATTCTACTTTGTGTTTATTTAGTGGAAACATGTGAGAAACACATTCACATTTGCATGAAACATGTTGAATCTAAGCTGTCTTAGTTTAAAGGGATACTCAATTTTTTGGGGGAAATAAGCTCATTTTCAACTCCCATTAGCATTTCTCCAAAAAAAAAAAAAATGACCAAAGTGTTTCGATGTTTTTCATATTTAAAACTTGACTCTTCTGTAGTTAAATCGTGCACTAAGATCGACGGAAAATGTAAAATGAAAAAGTTTTTTGAGAAATGCTAATGTTCTTGTCCATTCGATGATGTATGCTAAGCTATGCTAAGAGTGGTACCCCCAGAACTGGAGATCGGCTGAATGGATTCAAAAACTGTAAAAGTTTGACTCTGGGGGAGTTGTAAAATGAGCCTATTTCAAAAAAAAAAAAAAGTGGAGTATCCCTTTAAATATATTAAGTACCATTCAAAAGGCGTAAGGCTTTCGTATGGCATGTGTTCGGTCAATCAAAGTACTATTTACGTCACTGATAGTTGTTTTTGTGCTGGGACAGACCTTATGGCGGTCTAGTGAAAATTCCGCTCGAGTTCAAATTTTTCAACTTGCGCGGAAGACGTTCGTGGCAAACGCGTCACCCAATTCACATCATTCGCAACGCCCGGTACAAATGATGCATCTATTCGCGTTTTTGCATAGAATTTGTATGTAATCTACTCGCGCAAATAATTAAATTCGCGTTCGCTGTGAACACACCATTACTCTGAAGTAGGAGCTAACTTAGGGCCTGTTCACATATCGCATCTTTTGCGTGGTTAAGTTTGTTATTTCAAATGTAGGCGCGCGGCATGCGCGCTCATAATGGAAGCGGTGCGGCGCACTCGTTTTTTTTCTAGCTTGTCCGCGCCGCTTCGAGATAAAAACATCTCAACTTTTCAGAATGCCGCAAGCGCACCATAAGCGCACAGTAGGTCACGTGACAAGAACCAACCGGAGCGCAACCGCCCTAGCGCTTTGGAAAAAGGATAATGCGGCGCACCCAACGTTTTCTACGCGTTTTTAGGTGCTATATGTGAATCCGGCCTTAGTCCCCCCAAAATACATTAATAGGCCTATAACTAAAATCGTTAACTAAAATAACTACGTTTCTGTGGTGTGAACACGCCAAAAAGCAGGTTCTTACGCCAATCATTATAGGAACTACAAAAATGATTTTCAGCAAAATCATTATGAATATATCGTAAATATTAAATATATTGCACAGCCCTACTTGGTACTATGAACCTCATGATAAACACCCAAGCTAAACTTTGCAAAATGTAACAGTAAACAACTTTATTACTTTTTTAATAAAAATGTATAAATCGGTTTACTCTCGTAATCTACATAAAACCATCCAATCAGATTGAAACTCATGAAGACTTATGACTTATGAAGTAGAATCTCATCGGTAAATAAGCACCACTGTGTGTACATAAATGCCCTTTTCCATTAATGGGCATTAACATGACTGAAGCACTTTGGGGTTTTAAACCATTGAATACATTAGGATGTCTTCAAAAGTTAATGAGTGTTGGGAATGAGGGGCACAGCTAGCTTAACACAGAAGCAGAAGAATCCTACCTTAACTCGATTGATGTTGACCCCGCTCATGCTTCCACTGCGGTCAATGAGGAAGATGAATTCTCCCTGGACGCTCCGAAGGTCAGAGGTCGTCGAGCGGAGATCTGGGCAGAAGTTGAGCATGACTACAGGGTTGTGGAGGATGTCTTTGTGAAGCCTCTTCCGAATGATGTCCACCTACACAACACACACCAGCCAGTGACAGAGCCATTACTGAAGGCCATAATGGCGTAAATCTTGTGAATCTCACGAAAACATGTCAGATTGTTTGCGTATTATTTACGCACATTCTCATGCAATATTTTTTTCTAGAAACATGTGTATGAGAAAAATGCATAAATAATATGCAAATCATTTTTAAACTGAATATATCCTAATGTTCACTCAAGTCCCCAAGTGGCTTTTTGTATAGTCTATATATAAACAAATATAATTCTGCCTTGCATTTATTTAACGGACAAGTGTGAGAAACACATTTCAACATTTTATTTTGAATTTTGAACATTTGCATCAAATATTTTGAACATTCAAAAGTTTAGGGTCTATAAATTATGAATAAATAAATACACACATTAGTGCTATCAATTGATTAAAACAAAGTTATTAATCACGATTAATAGCGCCTAATATTCAGTTTTTTTATATATATTTTATATCATTTCACATTTAATCTCCAAAGACAGTAGCCTATTGGAAGTATTTGTTGAATGGCAGTATCACCGAAACCAATACTGTCTCTATGAAATCGTTTTTTTCTCAAATTTACCCATTAACTATAGACATTCAACATTACAGTATACTATCAATTTTAACATTTATTAAGCAATTAAAATATTTAACAACTTTTAATTGGCCCAGTCAGACCGGTTCACATTTTTACTTTATTTTTTGTCCGTTGTTCAAGCACTGTCTGAACAAGAACATACATATATTTAAAAAAAAAATTAAAAAATGTTATGTAAGTATAAAAAGAAATGTAGTCTTCTGTGAACTCGATCATTTAGAGGATGGCAATGAACCTATTGCGCACTTCTCTGAAAAAGTACTTCAGATAATCATAAGCAATGTATTTCAACCACTTTACATCATCTTTCAATTGGTTGTTCCATTGTACTTTAAATTACTTCTTGGAAATCTGCCATTTCTCTGCTCACTTAAAAAATTAACCTTTGGAGGAAATAGCTTTCTTTTATGTACTGTACATAAACGTGTCCTGTATAAAACCGAGCTTGCCTGGATGTGCACTAAAAGATGTTAATTTCCATGCTTTTTAGCTGCTAATCACATGACTATTTTCAAAGTTCAGATTCAAGTACAATTTCAGAGAAGAAATTCAGGTTTGGATCAACGTGGGGGAAAAAATGATAGCCGAATTTTCGTTTTTGGGTGAATAATCTTTTTGAGGAGGATATTCAATGTTATTCAGTAAAGGATTGATAGAGACAGATGTTAGCCAAGGTCAGAATTTTGAAAATATTTTCAAAACGGGTCTTGGATCCCCCTCTCATGCTTTAAAGACTTAATACATCCCAAAGGAGATGAAGTTAACTCTTATGTCGCTATGCAATCGGTAGAAACACTGTGGACTCTTCGACAGACCTTTGACAGTTTCCATAGAAACCTGTATTCATTGCTGATCATTTTAGGGCTGAATGTTCTCTCCCTCCTGTTGAGGAACAGCACTCACTTAAGGGTGCAATTGAAGCTTTGCGCTGCTGAGAAACATGGATATGTGCCAGCATTTCCACTTAAAGTAACTACTTCCTGAAGTGATGATTATAGCAAGAATAGATTTTACATTAATTGGATAACCTAACTAACTTTGATTTCATTCTGGATTGATTTTGAGTATGATTGTCATTAGGATAAATCTAGCTTGACGTTAAAAAACCCTGAATATTTTAGAAAAATGACTGGAACCTACAAAAGTTTGGGATCAGAAACTTCTTTATTTTGTTTTTTGAAAGACTTTTATTCTGTAACGATGCATTAAACTGATCCAAAGTGATACTGAAGATATTCATTACTAGAAAATTGATTTCTATTTTAAATAAATGCCGATCATTTTACACTTTTTATCAATGAATCCTGATTTTTTATCATGCACTCTTAGAAGAAATGGTTCTATTTAGAACCAGAAATGGTTCCATCCCCCGCTTCATATATGGAACTCCAAAATGGTTCTATATAGAACCATTTTTTTTTTGGTAAAAGGTTCTATTGGCCAAGTATGGAACCCCAGGGTTCTATATAAAACCCAGAGGAACCCTTTTTTTAAGAGTGTATAGAACCTTTTAGGGGTTCCAAATATGTAGCGCTGATAGAACCTTTTAAGGTTCTATATAGAACCTTTTCTTCTAAGAGTGTGGTTTCCACATAAAAACTGAATATTGGTAATAATAATAAGAAATGTTTCTTGAGCAATGTTTCTCTCTTTTTCCCCACTCACTGTCTTTTCATTGCTGCAGTCCTTCTTCGTGGCCTTTATGTAGTCGCTCCGTCCTTTCAGATGCTCGTCGTATTCCTCCGGCGTCATGTCTCCGTCCTCGATGAGAACGTGTGGCAGATGGGGCTCTACGCAAAGAAAGGAAGAATTACTCTCTTTGTACGGCATAAAAACCTCTCAGTGTGGAGGCACAACAGTAAATTATGACAGCAGACGGTGAGTTACATTAATACCAGACATGAAGGACTCCTATGGTGGCAGTATTTCTGAAAAACAGCAGCTGTACTGGGACCAGAGTGCGTTGGCTCCTAGTGGGCCATCAATAAAGCTGAACGTTTGCCCCCTTGACTCGGCTTTCTAATGAATTCAATTGCACAATACTGGCCTCGGGTCACCTGTGGAGTGAGGCAATCTTATGAGGCATCATGAGATCCATTTATGCCTCCGATGGAGGTTGAGATGCATGATGGGGTGGCTGGAGAAATATAGAGCTCAACTGAGCAGTGCTTATAGATGTGATATGGTTGTGGGCCTGGGAATGATGTTTCAATAGCCTCCGATTTAATAAACAGCCTCTCGTTTGGACAAGCATTCAGGCACATGGAGAGATTAGCACTGGCTTGTTCTCAAAAGGCAGACCCTATTGTCCAGTTAACACAGGTCAAAGTGACTGTGATCTTGTTTGTCTGTCCATGGGGACCAAATGCCCTGACAGTAAACGACATTGCTGGTAAGTTCTAGAAAGAAAACGGCTTCATAGAGGGACTCAAAATGAGTGTGGTGTTTGTCACCACTATATTGGCGCTTTTCCATTACACAGTACCAGCTTGACTCGACTCGACTCGGCTTTGTTTGGTTTTCCACTGTGTAAAAGTTGTACCTGTACCTGCTTTCAGGTACTTTGTATCACCTCCGGCGAGGTTCTGAGGCGATACTAAAATGTAACGTGAAAGCAATGTCGACTGCTGATTGGTTAGTTACTAAACTTACTACTACTATTATTATTATGGCAACTCGGAAGAATAGGCCGGGGTCAAACGAGGAGGTGCAGACTTTCCTTTGTTTGGTTGCCGAAGAGAGGATCCAGCGAGACCTTGATAGGGCAACGAGGAACGAAAGGCAAGGCAAGCATTTGAGCTTCTAAAACTTAAACTTTGTTGTTGTTTTTTTTTAAAATAAGCGATCGTTTCACTTGATAAGACCCTTATTCCTCCTCTGGAATCGTTTAAAGCCCTTTCAACAGTTTGCAGTTTGCACTGAAAGTGTCTTTTAGACCTTGAACCGTTTGGACCCCATTGAAGTCCATTATATGGAGAAAAATCCTGGAATGTTTTCATCAAAAACCTTAATTTCTTTTCGACTGAAGAAAGAAAGACATGGACATCTTGGATGACATGGGGGTGAGTAAATTATCAGCAGAAGTTTTTTTAAAAGTGAACTACTCCTTTAAGACAGTTGTTTTAGGTTATGTGGCATTATAATCGTTTCTGTATATCATTAAGTGCCAAAATCAACGCTTTTCTTACTTTTTAAAATCACTTTCTTTTTTATATTTTGTCTGATGATTAGATTATCCCCTATGCCGTCCTCTTTGCTGTTGCTTAGTGATTTTTGCGCTCTTTAGCTACGGCAGTTGACCATTTACTTCCGGCTGCCGTTGCCATTCTATCAGCAGCTGTTGCTTAATGTCCCTAGTACTGTCTGCAATGGAAAGCGGAGCAAAAAGCGAGTTGTTACTGGTAATGGAAAAGCGCCATCATATGTGTTTGCTAGGGAGATATAGTTACAAAGGTGTTCTCTGAGTGGATTTTAGTGTTGTTTAAGATTTTCTAGGAATGGGAGAATGGGTAGATTTCTTTGAACAATTCTAATTTCTTAATGATTCTTTTAGGACTTAAACTGGAAAAAAGCAAAATGATGAGATCATTTCAGTAATAATAAGTTACGCAAACATTTTAATGACTTTTCACAATCTTTTTATGTGGCATAAATGCAATCCAAAAACTGGTCTTCACTATATAATAAATCTACTAAACAAATTAAACATACGATGTATTTCAATTATTTATTTATTTTTTATAAAATACTTCTGATAAAACTCTCAAAATTACAGATCAATTAATATGCTCAGCAAGAAATCAGTATTTGCCTTGAGAAATGTATTGTCTCAACAAGGCATTTTGCATTTAGTGAATGATCAAATTCAATTGGACAAAACAAACTAGGAGAATTAATAAGACAACAGTTGAGAGAACCTAAATATCTGAATGCATCACTTGTCTGAATGTCTGAATAGTATATTTAGTTGCGCTGTATACTTTTGATTCACTAAAAAGAACTAGTGCATTATCTGTTTCATACTCTACACACCCTGAGTTCATGCTATACATTTATTGTATTGATGTGTGTTACACACCACTGGGGTAGATCAGTATCTCCACAGGGCAGTCGTAGGTGTACTTGTCTGCCAGTGTGACCACAATACTGGTGGCAGAGCGAGCCGAAGGGTCCGCGTCCGCACGGATGGCATGTGAGGGGCTTTCCACACCTGCACAGAGAAACTTCTAAAGCATCTAAAATAAGCAGGAGCAACAGACGTTAGACCACATGCGAGGACTAAACCGTTCCGCAACTCCAGCTGGAAGATGCATACTACTGTGTATACAGACATTTGGGCTTGAGTCCCAGCTGAAATAACAAGCATCTGCTGCACTTTCCATTTATGAATTTGGCAGGAGCTTTTATCCAACGCAACTGGATGTGTAATGAAGATATACATGTTATCAGTGTGGAAACTATTCACTTCATTTATGCTAGAAAACTGGGAGCATGTGTTTATAAAAATTATGCATTTATATGGAAGCTTGTTTCTGCCACAAAATAAAACAAAAAATAAAAATGGTGATCAAATTTCACAATTCTCCCTTTTTTTCTTGCAATTCTGAGTTTATATCTCATGTTTTACTTTTTTTCTCACAATTGCGAGTTTATATATTGCAAGTTATAAACTCGTAATTGCAAGTTTACATGTCACAATTCTGTTTTATTTTTTGTTTCCTCCACAGAATAAAAATTTTTTTAATCTCACAATCCTTGCTTTTCTTACTCACAATTGCGAGTTCAAATCCCACAAATCAGACCTTTCTTTTTAAGAATTGCAAGAAAAAAAATTGGAAATTATAGTCGCATTTTTTAATTCCAGAAATAAGCTTGCACATAAATACATAAGTGTTGCTGCCAATTTTGCACACTGTGAGTAAAAAAGTCTGAAATATAAGAAATTCGCAATTACCTTTTTATTTTCTTTTATTCCATGGTGGAACTAAGCTTCCATGCATTTGCCAGGCAATTTAGTCCAAATCAAGTTGCAGTGCATTCATGATTTTTAACATTTCACATGTATTTTTTGTTACATATTTATTTGTGTTCTCTGGAAATCAAGCCCATGATCATGGGTCTCATGATCTTTGTTGTTTAATGCTTGAGGATGGAGGAACTGACCTGCCAGTAAATACGGTCCTCTGATCTCAAGTTGAAAGTTGAACTCATAGTCAATGGAGTTGATGGTCTCTTCCTCCATCAGAGCAGCCAAACACACACCTGAAGCCGTCTGCTCGTGTGCTCCCTGTGCACAATGATGCTGATCCCTCCTGAAACAAATCAGCAGATGCACATTCAATCTTCATTTTCAGTTATGAGGTAATAATATGACTCTGTATAATGAGCTCAAAGGAAAAAGCAGTGCTTAAAGAACTTAAACTTTCTTTCTTCTGTATAACATAAAATAAGATATTTTGAGGAGTATCTGTATTTTGAAGAGATTTTGAGGAATATCTGTATGAGTATGTTTTTTTTTTACATCTCAATTAGATTGGGAAAATGGAAATTCTGTCATAATTTACCCATGTCATCCCACAATTGTCTTACTTCATACTGTAGAACATATAAAAATATATTTTGTATTGCCGTTATTTCATGCAATGGAAGTCAATGGGGTCCAAAGATGTTTGGTTCCCAAAGTTCTTCAAATTATTTTCTTTTGTGTTCCACACAAAGTGATACAGGTTAGAAACAACAGTTTGTGGTGCGAGTAAATGACAGTATTTGAGTTGGTGTTGTGATTCTGCAGAAATGAAATGTAGCAACATAGAGATTAAATATATAGGCTATGCAAGGAAAAAAAAATCTGTATGCAAATACATGCAAGAAAGAACACCAATCATAATTCAGTATGCAGATATTACAACTTTAATCTTAAATTTCCAAAACTTTAACGTTTAGAAAACCAGAAAATAGACAGCATAGATAAACCTGAAATTATTTACCAGACACAATAGAGTGCCGAAGTATGGAAGCTTGTTTCCGCCACTGAATAAAAAAATATAATAAATAATTGTGACTTTTTATCTCACAATTCTGACTTTATTTCTCAGAATTGCGTGATATAAAGTCGCAATTGCGAGTTGTAAAGTCAGAATTGTTTGTTATAAAGTCAGAATTGCTAGATATAAAGTCAGAATTGCGAGATATAAAGTCAGAATTGCGTGATATAAAGTCGCAATTCTGAGAAAAAAAGACAGAAGTGTGACTTTTTTTCTCACAATTGCGAGTTTACATCTCGCAATTCTGACTTTATAACACATAATTGCGAGTTTATATGTCGAAATTCTGACATCTTTTCTCAGAATTGTGAGATATAAACTCGCAATTGCGACTTATTAGGCCAATTCTAGGTTTCCCCCTCAGAATATAGTTTAAATCTCACAATTCTGACTTTATATCATGCATTTCTGACTTTATAACACGCAATTGCGACTTTATATCGCGCAATTCTGACTTTATAACTCGCAATTCTGACTTTATATCTTGCAATTCTGACTTTATAACTCGCAATTCTGACTTCATATCTCGAAATTCTAACTTTATATCACGCAATTCTGACTTTATATCTCGCAATTCTGACTTTATAACTCGCAATTGCGACTTTATATCACGCAATTCTGACTTTATATCTCGCAATTCTGACTTTATAACTCGCAATTGCGACTTTATATCACGCAATTCGGACTTTTTATCTCGCAATTGTGAGAAAAAAAGTCTGAATTGTGAGATAAAAAGTCGCAATTATTTACTTTATTTTTTTATTCAGTGGCGGAAACAAGCTTCCATACCGAAGTTATGACGTCACTTTGTAGGCCAAAACGAGGAAGTGAGTTAGCATTTTAGCACTACCGGTTCCCTCACCCTAAAGTCTATGTTTTTTTTTTTAAATGGGTTTTTGCTAAATTGCCTGAAATAAAGTCTGTGGTCAACAAAGCCTCTAAATATTTTCACGTTTTGATCTATGACATAAAACACACCAGTTATAACCTGCTTGTGTTTTTTTAAACTTCATTGTGTCTGCTTGTGTTTTTTTTAATCTTTATAGGCTTCAAAATGTAAAAATTTTGAATTAACTTGTAAAGATTATCTTGATAGACAAAACGTGTAAGGGTCACAACTCTTTGTTAAACTCTTTGTTAACTTTACGAGTTGTCCTACAAAGTGACGTCATAACTTCGGCACTCTATTTGAGACTTTAAATTGGAGTATGTGAAACAGTTGAATTAATTGCAAAGTTTAATACTTCTACTAGTGTTTGGAGTTTACAACAGAAGCCAGAACGGTTGAGAATTATAAATACAGGACTGCCATTCACATACTACATTTATCAAAAAATGAAACACTTCGAACCTCCTAGCAGTGCTGGGCGAAAACGCCTGCTCCTCTTTGACAGAACGCTGGACTCTCGGAGAGCAGACGGGCGGCGAGGTTACCCGGATCCCACCGTTGGTGAGTGTGCTGAGCTCCGAGGACGTGCTGACCAGTATATTAATGGTCTCCAGAGGGGGAATGACCCCCAGACTAACCACCAGCACGGTCCTCTCCTGATCCTCGTCCAAAACGATATGTCCTGCAGCAAGATGATTCATCAGTAAAGCCTCAGAAAGGTACAGTCAACGTCAATGGAAGAGCTTAATAGGATTTTGCGTGTTAACTGGATTCAACAGACACCGTGACAGGCCTTTCGTTTAAGCTGTGAACTAGGGATTAACTCAGATCTTTGATGAGCGTTATAAATGAGCATGCAATCTTACCACCTCCGCTTTGCGGGGTTCCATTGGCATTGCAGCAATCAAAGTAACAGTCATCGATTTTCGCTTTGTCTTTGACCTGCACGGTTATTATCTGGCTGCCAATCATCGCTTCGAACCCGACCACCACGCTGCAGTCGTCCAGAGGATATATAAAGATTCCTGCATAAATCACAGGAAGAGGATTAGAAAAAGTGATTCAGGAGAATGCATTGTTTATTACACAGCAGCAAAAGGACATCTTTCCCCAAAGCTAATTTTGCACTTGACAGAAATTAAATCCTTCGTTTTAGTGCTTTCAGTATTGACCACCAATGCAAAATCCAATCTGTTGGAGTCAATACGACACTGGAGACCGCAGAGCAGCAGTGTGCCAGTGACATTTCTAGACTTCATACAAGTAGCTGATGAGGTTGGGAGGGAAATACAAGTGTTTCTTTTCCCTTAAGGGAATTAAAACTGTCACCCAAATTTTATATGCAATAGATAAATCTTAAATTTAGGCCTAATTAATTGTTTTACCTTAGGATGAGCCACTAATGATGGATATCTTATCAGAAGAAGTAATGCATCCATTATAGAGCCAGACCGATTTATCGGCAGGTCGATATTATCGGCCGATATTATGCATTTTACAAACTATCGGTATCGGCAGTTATAATGGCCGATAATTTAATATTTCAAAAATAAAATAAAAACGGACGAAACATGCTTCAAGAGTGTTGGAGTTGTATGGTTTGTCCACCAAAAGGCACTTTCCTTTACACTTTAACTCAAATAAGCATGTATGTTTTACAATTTGCAGTATGATGTTATCCATTGCTAAATTATGGCTCATCATAGACTAGCTAACCATAAAGTTAGCTAATGCCACTATCATCAATCTGTGTTGTGACAATAAAATAAACGTTTCTTTTTAAAATGCATTATCATATTATTTTAGTTAAAACTCATAAATAACTACAAGTAACTAATGTTAGGGAAATCTGTTAATGTTTTGTTGCGCGTTTCTGAAATAATTTGTTTTTTTTAAATATCGGCCGATATATCGGAATATCGGATTTTAAAACCAACAAATATTTGTATCGGTATCAGCCTTCAAAATCCTTTATCGGTCGGGCTCTAATCCATTAGACAGCATACTCACCCTCGACAGGGTGATCTTCGATGTTTTCATAGGTCAAGGAGGCCGTCATTGCCAGGGTGTAACCCCTGACACAGGAAGTGATGTCAGAGACGCTGAGAGGCAGAGCGCTCCGTTTGCTCTTGTTGATCAGGCCTGGCATGATGGTGGTTCTGTCCTGTACAGCTTCTCACATGCAGAGGAGGCGATAGGAGACGTTTCCCTAAAAAGGCTAGATAAGATTGAAAACATATTTTACAATGTCTTGCAGAATGAATGAATAAATGAACCAACCAATCCTTCCCTTTTTGGGGCCTGTGTATATTTTTTGGACATTGTATGAATGTCTTTTAATCCTTAAACAAAGTTAAATTTACTTGAAGGACCTGGATATATATATATATATATATATATATATATATATATATATATAATACATGTTTTGTTTTAAGCATAAAAAAGAAGATAAAAAATGATAATATAAACAATAAACTTAATTCAAAAATATATTACCTTATATATATATATATACACGTTTTGTTTTAAGCATAAAAAAATGAAGATAAAAAATTTAAATAAAAACAATAAACTTAATTCAAAATATATTACCTTATATGTTCGTCAAACATTTGATCACCAGAAAATGACTAAAAATACATTTTGAACGGAACTACTGTTTTATCATCCATACAAATTTGTTTGAAAGGTGTGTTTGTGCAAATCTGCCCCTTCTAATAAATGCCAGATAGATATTTTGTATCTAATGCAGTGACATTTATACAATTTATGTGTGGTTTAAGTGTCCAGTATTTCTGTGGCCATTGAAACAAGTCATTCATATTCACAGACGTCACACATCATAACTCATCAATGTCCTACAGCACTGATGAAGATGAGAGGACAACATCATTATCCGTATCGCTCTGGATGCCTCTCTGGTGTCTAAATGAAGTCCTCTGACAGGTCAACCCCGCCCCCCGTCCCACGGATGGATTTGAGGCACACAAAGCTCAGGTCTGGTTCAGCACCATCAAAGGGGAACAGAAACCTCTGGCACATCAAAAAGCCACTGGCACTGTTACAGATGCAGTGCTGATGTCATGACTCGTCAGTTTTTACCTGAGGTCGGCGCAGAGAACTTCAGACTATGGGAATACAAAACCAGAAGAGTTATACGATACAGATCACCGTCTGTGTCTCAGTCCTCCTAATGATTGTTCCAGAAAAAGCGATTAACATGATGTAAAACTCTTTAATTGTCTCTTTAACTTTTCAGTTGATTCTCCAAGACGGTAATAGGACTGAAATTGAAAGCAAATGCGTCAGAGATTTTTCTCCTTTGGAAAAGGACATCAATATTCTAGAACAGATCTCTCTGAATAATGTCTCAAACTGTGCTCAGATTTGCAAGGTCTCAATATGAACTCAAACCCAAATGATCTGAGCTTTTATCCGCATTAATTTATATCTCCATACTCATGTCATACTCATTGTCTGAGTTTTGTCTGCTTTTTTTTCTCCTAGACATATCTGAGATGTTGACTAAAACTGAAATCTCCAAGCGGCAATAACAATTTCACAAATTATATGTCTTATATTAGACCGTACATAAATATCTCACAATAGAGTTTCATAAAATACTTCAAAAATGCCCCACATTGTGCCCAGGTGCAAAATCAGAGATTCATTAGGAGCTTAAATCTTTCCACAACCGAGTTATACTGTTGAGTAATGGACAATATTTGGCCATTCTAATATTTTGATATTATTCTACGTAAAAATGTTGTGGGTCAATAAGATTTTTTTAAAATATATTTTTGAAATAAGTCTCTTATGCTTACCAAGGCTACATTTATTGTTACAATTTATTTGTACAATTTAAAATAACTCTTCAATTTGATTTAAAAAAAAATGTAATTTATTCCTGGTAGACAAAGCTGAATTTTCATCATCTTTACTTCGGTCTTCAGTGTCACATGATCCATCAGAAATCATTCTAATATGATAATTTGCATTTCTGGCTATTATGAATGTTGAAAACAGTTGTACTGCTTCATATTTGTTTTTTGTTTTTTTGAAAGAGTCATACATTTTTTTCTTAGATTCTTTGATGAATTAAGTTTAAAAGAACAGCATAATCTTTTGCAACAATATAATTGCCTTTACTGCACGTTTGATCAAGTTAATGCATCCTTTCGGAATTCAATTTACTTTTATTTGTATAGTGCTTTTCACAATACAGAAAATGCATGCATCTACATTACAATTTAGAGTGTCTGCGTGCAAGTAATGTATTTCAGAAATGTGCATATACATATCACACAGTTATCTAACAATGTATGAATTTAATAAGGCAGAAACAACAAGCTCATTGAAGTAAATATTACAAGTTGTGAACATAATGATTGATTACAATATATAGAAAATTAAGCATTGATGCATGTTGATCCTGAGTTAATAAAAGTATGAATTTCTTGCTTTATAAAATAATTCTACCTGACCCCAAACTTTTGAACGGTAGAGTATATTATATAAATTGTGTTCTTATCAGTACTATTTTTTACATTAACATATTTAATATTATTTTGCCATCTCTTTTGAATTCATTATAATATATAAACATTATATTATTTGTCAGACACCTTGCAATTCTCATTTTAGATCACGTTTGTTGTGTTTGAGATGTTTTTCATTGTTTCCAAGTTGTTTCTATGTGTTGCTATGGTTACTCATTGTTTGATTAAATTACCACACCTGTCTGTTGTTTCCTCCCTTTGATTATCCTTTGTATATATTTCTCCGAGTTTAAAATGAGTTTTCATATTTCGTCAGTATATAGCGGTTGTTCTGTTTGATTTTTTCAAGATTTCTGAGTGTTAATTTGATTTTGTGTTAATTAAAATCAATGGTTGCGATTTGGTCCAGCCATTTGTGACAGCAATTGCATAAGGCATTAAACAGCCAATATTGACTAATATATACTATAATGTTATAGTCCGACTAAATATCAACATTTGTGTCTATTTATTTGAAACCATCATCATTTCCTTATAATTCGGTTTGATGACTTATGAATATAAGCTTTATCAAAGATATTTCTCATTCCAGGAACATCTGTGATAAAGCTTATATTCAAAGCACAAGTCATCAAACAGAATTATGATGATTTCCAAACAGGTTTCCCAAACTCTCTACTTCGTTAAGTCTCCTGAGGTCTCAGCAAACAACAATATCCCACAGTATGATTTAACTTTATATCAATCCATCTAACTTCCACAAAGGGTCAGTGTTTTGGAAATTTCACTGGCCAGTTTCCAGATTTATGAGCAAATGTTCTCAGAGGACATAAATGTCTAAGATTAAACAGCTTCCCAATATTACAGAAAAGAAACAGGCGCTTTCATCAAGGTGTCCACATGGCCATAACTCAGAGACAGAGGAACGCCACCCCCTCTCTAATGGATTAGGTTTTGGCACAGTGCCTCGTGACAAGATGAGAGTGGACAGACGAGTACAATAGATTTCCTCCTCGCCCCTGACTGCCATCACACACAGCAAACAGGTCAAACACTGCCATCATGTGTCCTGAGAAAAGCAGGCATTTCTGCACAAAGCAAAGGTGTCTATATCCTCTTAAAACATGATTTAAATCATGCATTTAAAAATAAAGGTTCTTCTATGGTTCCATGGAGAACCTTTGGAAACTTTTTCCACCTCACAAGGTTCCTTATTGTTGAGTTAGATTATTATTAAGAAAACAAATGGTTATTTTAAGGTTATTTATGATCTCTGCGTAAAAAAAAAATCTCTTTGAAAAACGTTGATATTAAAACCACAAAATTAATCATTTAAGCTTTTTAAATAACCCTAGCAGCAGACCCAAAAGAAACCTGGTGGTAAAGGTCAAAATCAATTTCATCCTCAATGATGAGATTGATTTTGTTTGAAAATGCATGAAAAAAAAATATTTCCATATTCTATTCAAGGGGACCCAAATTGAGGAGACCCCAAAGTGACAGACAATGATCAACCCCCCGTCCATCCATCCTCAATGGAGTGTGAATCACTCCCAACGAAAAAGAGCCAAATCCCCCACTACACACACTCCACGGCTGCCACCACACACACCGCGGGAGACGCGCCACAGAAACAACCACCTGTTGATCCTGCGTCTCCATCAGCTGACTACACATGCATCACTTTGCAAGGTCGTGCAATCTCTTTTAGAGGTTTCCGAAACACTTCCCAAATTCACCTTAAACCTAAAACAAAATGCCTCCGACTTCACCATAAGATTTCAGAGTTCGGTTCCTCATGCACTTTTTTGCAAAGCAGGACTCTTACCTCACATCTGCAGCGGTCACAATGCCTGCATTGGTGATGTCCGAAATAATCAGCTGCAACTCCGGAAAGCTCTCTGCCTCTTGGAGATGAACACAACAACTGAGCAGAAATGAAGATGGGAGGGAGGTAGAGAGACGGACAGATATAGAAGCAGCTGGAGGAACGTTAACGCAGTCAATCAGCACAGCAACATGTGGTTATGAAGCTCAGAGGAGCTGTGGCAGAAACACAGGCGCTGGAAGCTGTCCTGTGCAACAGATTAACAGGAACCCCAGCACACCCCCCGCCAACGCTCAATTCTCCCCTCAGCATCTGTACCACCCACCAACCCACTCCTCCACCTCTCGGTCTCTCCGTAATCAGTGACGAGAGCCCATTCATGTTTCCCATTTGATGGCCGGGGTACCACAGGCTGAAATGAACACCGTGCACGGGGGAAACGAGGGGAGGGCGAGAGACCATGCATGTTTCCCTCTTTGTCTTTGTGCGTCCTTCCATCATGCATGTTTTCCCTCCAGTGACTACTAAGCTCACTATCTTGATTTCAATATGACCGTGGCGTGTGTGATTAATCTGCTTTTGCAGCGGATGTAACCATGACAATCAATATGGAGCCTCCAGGGCTTCTTAAAAGACAACAGGTTGTTTGGAGAAAGTGTGTGTGTTTGGTGATGTGTGCTGCCATGGCGCAAATCCCAGCTTCTGTTTCTTAATTCAATTAACATGTGCTATTTACTGTCTCTCTGGCTCGCTCTCTGAATGTCCGTTATCTCATCTGCCGGGGCAGACTGAGGGCTGCAGCGGTTGTTGATCATTTCATCTGCAATGAAGAAGAAAATATGTCAAACCCAACGGCTAAAAATACGTGTTACACGTTATGGATATAAGTCAGAAACATCAGATGATATTTTGAAATAATAAAGATTCTTTGAACGCATTCATTCAATTGCCAATTGAATTTCCTCATGAATAAGCAACCACAGAATAAATAAACAAAACCATATTGGCTGTGAATGATGCAAAAAAATGTTTTGAGACAAAGCACTTTAGTTCTAAAACTGTGGTATAAGGTTGAAGCTTCATGGCTTTTCTTGGGTTTATGAGATATACAAGATTTCCACCTGATAACATTTCTTTGGGGAAAAACTGTTCTAATAGATTTGACAGTATCTGTAAACAAGGTTTTAATTAGGTCATTATTTTAATGGAAATCTCTTCTACAGTAGCCATGATTTAACTGTGGAATTTCTCATAAGACCATAGTAACCACTGACAAAACCTGCATTGCACCTTATTTCCATGGTTACATCAACTATGGCTTCCTATATGACGGTAGCAAAGGTATTACTCAAGAAATGTGCAGCCAAAACACATTGTGTATGTGCCCTATATAGTGTAGCTCTAGTATTTCTTTTCAAAATTTTTCAAAATTTTCAAAATACCACAGTTTCTACAGGTGTTGCACAGCGTTAAAATAGGAATGTTTACATCATTTGTTTATTTATGATATGTATTGTTTAATTTATTTATTGTTTGTGGATAAAAAAAACTAGAGGTCTACCACCAGGCCTCTGACTGAGACGCCAAACAGAGAGTGATGTCAGTGGAAATTTTCATGATAATTGTCTGCACAAATTGCTTTTTAGAAATAACAAACTAACCAAGTTTAATATTTAAGACTGGTTTAGACTGCTACAACACAGATACTTACACATGAAACTGTTTGCAGTGAATGGTAAACTGGAACTGGGTACTCTGGGTAACACGTACTGACTTCCGGCCGGACAGCGTTCAGTGCGCGCGCCTCGACTGTCAGTTGGTTGGTTTTGCGCGTTCTCGTGAAGCTGAGTCGAGTAAAGTGGACGCACATTTTTGAAGACCGTTTAAAAGTTCATATATCTGCGACAGAAGCCATGTCAACCGATTCGTGGGCTTTAGCCGTGGACAATCAAGAGTCTACACCCAAGTCTGTGAGTGAAAATGTGATTTTAATTATGTTGTAACGGATTAGCGCACTAGCAGCGGTGAGTCAGGGATGGGCTGCGTCTCAAATCCACGTGAGCTTCTTAACTAGGGCCAAACACGGTTCCTACCAAACACGGTTTTGACCATCAAAATGCTTTCTAACAAGGTTTTGAGATACGACCTGTATGATATTTTAAACCTATATAAATTTTTAGGGACTGTAATTTAACTTTGTACCACTTAACTATGAAGTTAGTGGACATGATTGTTTTCATCATCTATGTCATTTCTGTCTGTGCTGTTTAAAAACTAGTGAGTGTAATTTATGGCTTGCTAGCACTGGCAAACTTAGCTTAAAATATGTCTAACGTTACTTTATTTAACGTTAACTGTTAGCTAAATCAATTCGATACGTTTCTTTTGAAAAATGCATAATTTGTGAATGTTCTTGTAACGTTATATTGTATATATCTGTGTATGGCATTTATATTTTCTTGACTGTAAATTCTGTTTGAACAGATCCAGAACTCGCGGATTTTGGAAGCGGGAAATTTAGCTTGGACTAATGGTAAGTTAATGTTTCACTGTATTATATTGCATTAAAACAATAGTTCACTCAGAAAGTAATATTTATCTAAGTTAGTTCCAAACCTGTATGACTTATGCGGAACACAAAGAGTAGATTACCTTTAAAAAAAGGTTTTTGTTGCATTGAATGGGAACTGGAGCTTTCAAGCTTCAAAAGTATTCAAAAGCAATATGAAGTGTCAAAAGATAGATAGATAGATAGATAGATAGATAGATAGATAGATAGATAGATAGATAGATAGATAGATAGATAGAATTGCACAGTACAAATACTCAGCAACGAAATGCAGTTTAGCATCTGTCCGAAGTGCAAATAGTATCATTGTGCAAATAGACAAAATTGCAATTGGAAAAATATACATCTACAGTAATAGCTACATCAAAATGACTTGTGCGCTACATTTCAAGTCTTATCCAGCACTTACTGTATGCTAGCAGCTTTTTTATGAGAAACTGACCAAAATTATGCTATGATCACTAATAACCTTGGCATTCCTTGGTGCACTATTTTGATTGAATCAGATTTTTTCCATTGAATTAAAATGATCTGGTACTTGGTTGGTAGAAGAAACAATCAGTCTTTCTCTCAAAATCTCCTTTTTTGTTCCTCTAAGCAACAAAGACATACAGGTTTGGAAAGTGAGTACATGATTTTTGTGTGTGAACTATTAAAGATGTGTTTGCATTAAAAGATTTCTCTGCATTTTCTTATGTGTCATTTATTTTCCCCTCATGTAGATGATGCTGACAAACCCGAAGAAGAGGAAAAAGGTTAATTTTTACATAATAAACATAATAAATTCAATATTGAGTCAATTAATTTGCTTTTTACACATTTAGTGCTATTGTGAATAATTCCGACTTTAAAACTGTTGATCTTTTTAGGTAGTCTAAAAGGTTTGTTTTCATCTTACATGATTATTTATTCATATGACACTTCAGCTTTATTCATTGACTGTATAAAAAACGTAAATTGTAAGCCTGCTTCTTTGCAAATATGCTATTTCAGAGGACAAAGCCACACAGTCTCTCCTGAATAAATTAATCAGAAGCAATGTGGTCAACAACACGAACCAAGTGGAGGTTCTTCAGAGAGACCCAAACTCACCACTGTATTCAGTCAAGACTTTTGAGGAGCTGAGGCTGTGAGTACTACATGTGGTGTTAAAGTAATGACATCTGAGGGAAAAGAACTGTGAATTTACACTGCTGTTTGAGGTCTTTTTTATTTATTCAGAAAGTATGCATTATATTTATCAAAAGTGAAAGACTTTTTACATTGTTACAAAAAATCTATTTCAAATAAATCCTGTTCTTTTTAACCTTTTAACTATCTATTCATCAAATAATCCTGAAAAACTACAACTTTTTCACTAAATATTGAGAACTGTTTTCAACATTGAAAAGAAATATTTACTGAGCAGCAAATCAGCATATTAGAATGATTTCTGAAGGATCATGTAACTGGTATTTTAATATTTTATATGTGTATTTTTGATCAAATTAATGCAGCTGTGATGAATATTTGAATGGGAGTTTGTATTGCTAGCATTCAGAACAATGACTGTTTTATGAAATAAGGCAATGCGCTATATTTTAAAGCTTCTGCACTTCTCGGGTGGCTCGCATGTTTCAATTTTATTAGTTTCAATTTTTGTTACTCAGGAAACCTCAGTTGCTCAAAGGCGTCTATGAAATGGGCTTCAACAGACCTTCTAAAATCCAAGAGAATGCCCTTCCCATGATGCTCGCCGAACCGTAAGTCCACATATATTTTATACATTCAATACAGATTTGAAGCGATGAATGTTTTGATGTAAACGGTGCTGATAACAGTGTGTGAGTGTGTGTATTAATACTCGCACATTTGAAGTTAGATTTTCTTTTAGTTTTACTAAAAGTGTGGTTTGTCATTAGAGAGCAGAAAGAGCGTGTGCAGAGAGACGTATGTGATTTATCTCACTAAGATTAGTGGGGCGTTCTGGATAAACGTACAGTAATTGACACAGATTGGATATTTGATGCACAATATTGGACCATTATAAAGTTTGTTATGTGAAATCTCTGGGAGTATAAGTGTAAAGTAAGTTTCATATAACACTCATACATGAACAGACTGTTTCCTTCATTCGCAGACCTCAGAATCTGATCGCTCAGTCTCAGTCTGGCACTGGTAAAACAGCCGCCTTCGTGCTGGCCATGCTCAGTCATGTGGACCCGGGCTTAAAATGGCCTCAGGTGAGTTTGAAAACTGAGATTCACTGTAATGTTCCCTTTCATTCTGACCTAAGGCAAGATACTACAGGCAAAACCATTCCTTTGATCAATTTTGAGATTTTAGGCCATTTTGTTTACATAACTTGCCTTTTTTTTAGACAACTGGAAAGAAAAAACATTTTATTTTATTGCAGTTAGTCTGCATCTGTAGATTTCAATTACGATAAATATTTTGTTTAAGGCTGTTTTCTCATACACCAAACTTTCCAGTTTTATTCCTGTATATAAATTGCCTGATTTTTCTAACATTTTATTCATTTTTTCCTGGCTGTTGACAGTATTTTCTGATTTATGGAGTGATACTAATAGATATTCAAAATCTTTAAACTCTAATATGTCAACAAAATGAAACCGGATTTTTGAACCTTACTTGATCAAATGTCCGATTTCTGTTCTGGACTTTTAATGTGAATTAGTGAATATTGTTATTAGATAATGCTTCTTTGGTATAATGGGTGTATTCTTATTAGTTTTTTGACTGTTCACTCATCTATAATAATGAGTAATAAATGAAAATCAAAGTTACAAAAAAGCTTTTGTAAAAAAAAAAAAAATGTTGATAATACTTTGCTGTCTTTCTTCCAGTGTTTGTGCATTTCTCCTACATATGAGCTCGCTCTGCAGACGGGTAAAGTCATCGCGCAAATGGGCAAGTTTTATCCTGAAGTTAAACTGGCATATGCTGTTCGAGGACATAAAAGTAAGTGGCTTAAATTAAGCCTCAGAATATTGCGTAAACATGGAGACCAGATCTAAGTGCATGATTGCTGCTGTGCCCTCTGTCAGTGGAGCGTGGCGTTAAGATCAAGGAGCAGATCGTCATCGGCACACCTGGGACGGTTCTGGACTGGTGCGTCAAGCTCAAGCTCATCGACCCGAAAAAGATCAAAGTGTTTGTTCTGGATGAGGCTGATGTCATGATCGCCACACAGGGACACCAAGACCAGAGCATCCGCATTCAGAGGTGAACTTTCCCTAGTGTTTGGAGAATTGGCTTTCCAACCAGGCAAATGCATACAGACAGACTCCTGATTACATCTTTTATACGTTTTTTTTGTGTGTCTGGATCTAAAAATGAATATATTTTTATTAAAACATTAAAAATGCATTTCATATGACTTGATAACACCTTTTTAAATGTGTGCATGATTTTCAGATTTGATATTTGTTTAAAAATGTATTTTCTTAAATTTTAAATATAATAATTATATATTTTTTATTTTTACTTTTATTATTACTTAATTTTTCTTTTAAAAAACTGTTAGTATGCAATATGTATGTGACAAAACAGGAATTGATATTATGACTGCAAGTTCACGTGTAGATCCGTCATGACCCTGCCTATCAAAATTATGTATCTTAAAAAATGTCCCATCATTTGACCTTTTTTAGGTCAAACCCAAAGAAAACATCACGACAGTCATGATTAAAATTATATTTGTAAAATAAATACTTTTTATAGTCTTAAATTATTTTAACATTTTTTAATTGATTCCGTGGACGCTTGTTTTTCGAGGTGTTAGGAAAATATTTTCCTCCTTACACAACTTGTTTTTTGTTTGTTTTTTAATATGAACACAGATAATATTTCTTGACATTCTTATTTCCCACTATTACTTTTGCATATTTTCCACAAAAACAACAACACATTTATCCTTCTTATTAAGCTTCTCTGGCTTTTTGGTTTAAGACTTTTAAAACTAACTTAAAATGTAAAGAATTGGCAACATGGTTTAGCATTAGATTGAGTATAAACGGTTTTTATTTCCTGTCTCTTACAGAATGCTGTCCAAAGGCTGTCAGATGTTACTTTTCTCTGCCACCTTTGAGGACTCTGTGTGGAAGTTTGCCGAGCGTGTCGTGCCGGATCCCAACATCATCAAGCTAAAACGTGAAGAGGAGACGCTGGACACTATCAAGCAGTATTATGTGCTCTGCAATTGCAAGGAGGACAAATTCAACGCGCTCTGTAACATCTATGGAGCCATCACTATCGCACAAGCTATGGTCTTCTGTCATGTGAGCCTGCTTGCCTCTGGTTGATATTTCTGTGTTTAATGTTTCTTTCACTCAATCATCTTATGTTATCGTCTTTTCTCAGACTCGAAAAATGGCCAACTGGCTTTCCGCCCAGCTGTCTAAAGAGGGCCACCAGGTGGCGCTCCTCAGCGGGGAAATGGTGGTTGAGCAGAGAGCAGCGGTTATTGAACGTTTCAGACACGGCAAGGAGAAAGTTCTCATCACTACTAATTGTTGTGCAAGAGGCAAGGACACTACCTCATACACATATAATCAGATTTTTACATCCTTGATGGAATATGCTATTCTAATTATTTGTAAAATAACTACCCTATGGCCCCATTTACGCCTGGTGTTTTGATCTGCCTCTTTTGGCCACTTTCAACCACTTCTGTCCTGATTTCTTCAAAGGAAGGGTAAATGCATGGGGTTTTTCTTCCTGCTCTTTCAATCTAAATCAACAAAAATAAGCTGTCGCAATTTACATGAGTGCGCATGTGAATATACAGAGAGCATCAGCTTTAGTTTCTGCTCTGACAGCCACAAGACCAGCTGAACGCTCAGAGTGTGTGTGTTAGAAATCAGGAATGGTGAGGCAACATTGTGATTTTTATGTTTTTACATCTTCAAACCAAACTTGGGTCTTCAGCCGACAAAGATTAAATCCTGTCTGACTAGCGCACTTCGCTCACTAGGGACAGAGTTGGCGTCTTTGTGGCTGTTCGAACACATTCGTCCACATGAACCTTTACACTACGAAAGCAATCTGGGCGAACTACCTCTGGAAGTGGTCGAAAGTGGACAAGATCAAAACGGTTTTGACCCCATTTACCTGTATTTAGCGTTATCCGATCTGCCACAACGCATCTTAATACCAGGTGTAAACAGGCCCAGTGTGTAAATTCTGCCATCTTCAAGTAATCAAGTGGTCCATCCACAGGGATTGATGTTGAACAAGTGTCAGTGGTGATCAACTTTGACCTTCCTCTGGACAAAGATGGCAATCCAGACAATGAAACGTACCTCCACCGGATCGGTAGGACTGGACGCTTTGGCAAGAGAGGACTCGCTGTCAACATGGTGGACAGTCAGCGCAGCATGGAGATTCTCAAGACATACGAGAGGCATTTTAGTAAGTCTGTCTATTAGTTTATCTCTTAAAAGAGATATCAAACCCACTGTGAGACACCAATGTGTCCCTGAGCAAGACACTTAAGACCCTAGTTGCTCCAGAGGTGTGCGACCTCTGACAAATAAAGCAATTTTAAGTCGCTTTGGATGAAAGCGTCAGCTAAATGAATAAATGTAAAAGAATAGTTATGAACACCCAATAATTGTTATTTTTAATGAATTACAGAAATAATGATTCTAAATTGTTCATATATTATTCTTTTTTTTAAATAATTCATATCAGTGTTATTGTAGTATCATTAAAATACTATTATAGTGTTTATTAATAATTTGAATCGATTTTTTTTATTTTTGTTTTTCCTATTTTGTTATGTTTTTGTAATTTTTAATAGTTTTTGGTTGATTTAGTTTTCATTCATTTTTATATTAGACTGTTTTAAACTAAATGAAAATTTGAAATATTGCCTTTTTGTGTATTTTATTTGATTTTAGTGAACATTTATTTTATTTCAAGCAACAAATGTTTATGGTTTGTTTTAGTTTTAGTGAACTATAATAACCCTGAGTTATATAAATAATTGTTACATGTTATTATTAATTATAATATAGTGTGTGTGTGTGTGTATATATATAATGCACATTTTATTGAATAATTAATTAATGGATATTAATGTATATAAATTTCAAAATAATGAATATTGGATTATTTATTTGTTTGTTTTTCCCCAACAGATAAGAAAATTTTGAGGCTGGACACGGATGATCTCGACGAAATTGAAAAAATCGCCAACTGAAGAGATGAAGAGCGAAATCCACATTTTTTTGCTTAAAAATCAGTTCTGCTGTTACCGTATGATGTTTACATCAATTATCAGTGCATAATCAAAAGAATGCGCTTCGACTTGAGCTTAATGCCAAATAATTTTGATTACAGGACCTTTTGAGTCAGTTTGCATTTGACAAGTGTGTTTTGATTTAGAAGTGAATTGCAATACTAATTCCTACATTAACACAGGCATTTTGTCTGTTATCTACTTGACTAATGAAGCATATCTTGCAGTGTTGCAATACCTTTTGGTCTTATGTGTGAATAGAATCATAACAGGCTTCAGTATTTATTCTTTCACAGTATCTGAGATGAGAAAAGTCAGCAAGTAAGAGAATCTTAGGTAAATATAATTAACCATTGGGATTTCATCTACTTGCCTACTAATTCGCACTAAATTATAAAGCGCACAAATGACACAGTCCCTTAAGACCAACTCAAAACACTAACATTCCTCAAGAGCACTTCAGAATAAATAGACATTTTGTAATGGGACTATTATACTTCATACTTGAACTGCAAAAACCTTTTGGAGGAAGAAAGAGTTCTTGTTCTTTTCAGAAAGACCAAATATTAGTTTGATCTTTAAGTTGCACTGAATTGTTTGGACATTTGCTTGCACTTTCTGTTCGGTTGCAGGAAATGCGGCACTTTTACAAAGGGCTACTGAAGAGTGGTTGTTGTTTTGTAGCTATATTGTTTGAAATGGCTGCTCTACTCTTGTTTGCGAAATGCAAAATTATTTTAGTTTGTTTACATTTTTGATGCTCAAAGTTATGCACTTTGTTTGACAGAAACCCATTTGCAATTGCATTTAGCATTGCAGGTTTTTTTGTACTTTTGCTGCATTTAGGGTTTTATAGTTGTTTGCTCTAAATTCGTATATTAAAACTACCAGATGGCTCATTTCTGTGTTGTGTTATCAATCATTTTCACTTCTTTGCAAGCATTAAATGCAACACGTGTCATAATCTTAGCGTGAATACATACTTTATGTTGTTGTTGCATTTTTTAGTCTTTCCAACTCTGCATTTATTGTGAGAAACACTTTTAGCGCTTTTAACAAAGTTTTAACATGCATCTGGCGTGCATTTTTTGTTAGAATTATTCATTGTCATTATTTTGCATAAAGAAAACAACTTTCAGTGTATATATTGGGAAATGTTTTAATCATCAAGAAAATATCAGTTCAAAAAAGTCTTAATGGTCTCAGAAATAAGTTTAATTTTCTCTAAGCAACTTATATAAACTTATCTAGATAACTGTAATAACAAATTTTTTCATAGTTGACTGGCATGAATATGACTTTTTTTTTTTGCCTTCAGTTCAATCTAATGTTATTTGTAATGTCATTCTCTAACTCTTTTAACTTAAACTGATTAGATATATACACATTTTACAATCACATATTTAATCATGGGATTGATTTTGAAATGTTTATCGGACTGCAAATCTTTATTTTTGTGCAGTACATGAAATCCATGGGGAGGAGTCCAGATCCAACTCCTCCCACCTTACATATATCAAAATCTACCCAGCTCACCCCCTGATCCCTAAACCTACCCAACACCACCCCTTAGATCTGGATCCGACTCCGCCCCCTAGATCTTCTGTACTGCAATGAGGTGCTACTGTTTTTGTGTGCTATTTGAGTGTCCATAGAAAGTTGCCCTGCATTAATGTTTCAAGTTAAATCTGTGTCTTCTTGGGAAATGCATAAAACCGATTTGTTTAGGACACCACATTGAGCCAAGCTCATTGTAAGGTTTGTAAAAGTCCTGCGTGGTACATCCATAGTCTCAATCACACAGTTGTCAAACCTCTCCCCGAACTCCTCCTCTGCGGCTGATAGGACCCCCCGGAGCTGGTCTGTTGGCCGGAAATTGCACTTGAATCTCTGACCGCAAGGAGTTCTGATTGCAAGCAGCAGGCCTGAGTCCTCTGTCTCACTTCCTGACCCCTCTGACACCACATCCTGCCGGGCTTTTGTGTGGACATGTGACGTGTGTTGACATGTCATGTGGCTGTTACCTTGACTGAACTTCCGGTCAGTAACGTTAGCTGTTTTTTTCTCTATGGATGGCAGAACTCTGTATTTGTTGAGTGAGAAAGGCTCATCCGGGAGTCTGTCGGTGAGTACGTCTGTACTTGTTTGACTGCTGCATCTCTGAATGGCTCGGGATCGAAGGCTCTGGTTTGACCTGTCATTGGCCTTGGCAGCTGGAGGTTGGGGTGAAAGAGACGAGGGCCGAGAAGGTGGATCCACACTCGAAGTTTGAGCCATCATGGGTCTGCTGCGCCCCTTAGAAGACTTGGGTCTGATCACATGCATCCTGTCTCCAGATGACATTGAAATCTGATCAGATAGATAGAATACAGATATATATATATATATATATATATATATATATATATATAGAGAGAGAGAGAGAGAGAGAGAGAGAGAGAGAGAGAGAGCATAGTTTACTGTAAAGCTATGTCTTAGTTTGTGCTTATCTTGGCGAAAGCCAAGTACAAATCAGCATGAAGTTTAACATCTAATCTCGTGTAATGTAAATCTTACATTTTGATAGATAGATAGATAGATAGATAGATAGATAGATAGATAGATAGATAGATAGATAGATAGATAGATAGATAGATAGATAGATAGATAGATAGATATGCAGACAAACAGACAGACAGACAGACAGACAGACAGACAGACAGACAGATAGATAGATAGATAGATAGATAGATAGATAGATAGATAGATAGATAGATAGATAGATAGATAGATAGATAGATAGATAGATAGATAGATAGATAGATAGATAGATAGATAGTAGACAGACAGACAGACAGACAGACAGGCGATACCTTATGGTATGCAATGCAAATAACTGCAATAGGTTTCTGGTTAGCTTAAAGTTGCTCAAATATTCAATAAATAATCGTATATTGTAAAATCTTAGACATGTCGTACCTTTATATCGTTTTTTTGCTTCTTTCAGTCGTTGTTGAAGAGATTAAAAGAAGAGGCATTTTCTCCTCAGGCGCTAGTGTTGCGACGCGCTGGCGTCTCCGTGGCAACGCGTCTGAAGCGGAAGTGCGAGCTTTTTTGTAAACAATTACGTATTACATATCTATGCGTATTACTGTCTGGAACAACGTTTTTGACAGCATTTCACTGGAAAGAAATAATATCCAACTAAGTTAGCTCCCAAACGGTTATGCTTGCAGATTTTTCCAACGTGTATTCTGTAAACATTTATTTTACCACTGTCTGCAGTCAGATACATCTCCTTTGGTACAGTTCAGGTTATCGATCTCCTTCTAAAAAATTGATTTACTTTTTTCTGAAATATACTTATTATTTATCGGCAGAAATAATAAGTATATTTGTTTTTATTATTATTTTTGTTTTATTATTATTATTCACAAGAACAAATGTATTAATACTGCCTAGATAAGTTTTTCTTGTTCATATTTACCATACATAAATAATAAGACTAACAATTTCTTAAGAATTAAGTTCTTAACTTTCTTACTGGGCATCCATTACCGTTAGCATTAAAGTTTCAGAATTATTAATTATGCTGGTAAACTAAAGTTTGCAAATCTCAAATGTATTTTTGATGGAAGCTTTGTACTAAATATGAATAATAACCTAAATATGCACATTGAATGTCAAATACTTATTGTATGGCTTATTAAGAGGTGTGCTGTTTATCAAACTGCAAATTAAATTTTTAATATAAAAAGAATTCATCTTCTGGAAAGTTGCTTAAGTTTAAAAAAAATTGTTTATACTCCTCTAAATGCAAGATATAATATAAGAACAACCATGACAAAAACACAGATTGTATTATATTTAATTATTGCATGCACTGCATATTATATCAACCAAATCTCACCCTTTGTAGTTTCAGCAAAGACACACATTCAACATGAATTCAAGTGAAATAACATCATCACCAATAAGATAATTAACATGACCTATAAATTCAAACATACAGCACTTAAAATTTAAATATACATCATAAACATCTTGTAGCTTTACATCCCTATGCTCAAATATATTAAAATATACCCAGCGTTTAATGCCCACTCGGCCAACAAAGTAGAGTAAAATGAGCAGACCCTGCTTAAAATGTGCATTAAATCTGCATATTGCATGTGCCTTTGGCAAACCAAATGAATGAACCTTTTACAGCCAGACAATAAAATAATAAGTCCATGTTTGTAATGAAGTGAGTATGTCCCACTAGAACTGTATTGCTTAGTGGAAGGAATCTATGGTAACTCCAGGAGGTTGTTCTTGGCATATAAGTCTTCGGTGATCTGGTATACTTCAGAGATGAGGGGCAAAGACTCTCCTAACAGAGCAACCACCTGCACCTGGTCTCCCGCATTCATCACATTAAAGAAGGTCTCTCGCCCTGGAAGTGCACAGAAGGCAACACCGACAGCTTTCCGTATGAGCCAGGGGTGGTGCTGAGCCAGAGACTCATTATAGGCATCCGAACACATGACGGAGGTCTTGCTGTCCTCGGCGCTGGTCCGCAGTCTCTCGAGGAAGAGCTCCAGCCAGCGCAGAGCACGATGGAGCCTCAGAAGAGTCCGGCAACCGGATTCTGGGTGGATGCCTCTTTTGGTGAGGTCCACCAGCTCATTTTCCAGCTCATACTTCACCATGGACTGGATGGTGACATAGTGGGATCCATTTTCTCCTGAAAGGAAGTTTTCTAGGATCTGGATTTTGCAGATCACATCCTTGGAGATGAAGGAAAACACATTCCCCAAACTGTTCATGAAGCTGGTATGGAAAAAGAGCAGGCAATTCATTATCAGGCAATCCATATTTAGAGAGTATTTTTGTACTGATTAATTCTTTCATTACTTTTCCAGACATTTGCAATTAGATATTTCTATATATGAACATTAGACACTTTTAAATGGGCAATGACTCTTCCATGAATTAAGATTGATTTATGTGAATTGTACAGAATTTCAAAGTAACCCTAGACCATTATGTAAAACAATAATAAAACACACACCCACCTGACCAGCTCTTTCCATCCTGCTATATAATATTGAATGTAAACCTCCTTATTCTCAGTTAGGCTTGATCTGAATGTTTCTAAAACCCTCTGAAGACTGAATGTATCTGCCATTTTTGTTATTTCTTACTCAATTACCACGAAATAAACGAATGATTTTTTTGGACAAACCCTTATAACAGGGAATTAAAGTCCGTATTTATTAATTCGCAACTATAGCAAGTAAAAAGTATCGTATGTGCTCTTCTTTGGGATCATTTAAAGGCTTTGCTCTCCCTTTGATCCGATGATTTCCTGCTTTCTTTAAGCTACGTAGGCAACATTAGGCCAATCAAATCACATTTTTCATGTCACATGATATAAAAAGTCCATGTGATTGGACGTTGGTTCTTGGCCGTGTTTGGGGAATTTAACCATGACGCATTCACGCAACGACGTGACATTGGACGTCATTCTTTTATGATGCACAAAGTAGTCTTCCATGAGGGGGCGCTTGAGGCGCATTCAAATATCTGTTTTGTTGTCGGCGTCTTATTGGAGACATTTATGCACCACTGAACACTATAATCTTTCAATTAATGAACTCCGCAGATTTTTTTACCTGATAACAAAACATAAATACGCCCCTGAAATCTGAATCAAAATTATTTTTTAAAAAAAGTCCAGTCTAGAAATCTCAAACGAACATGATTGATCCAAACTCACCAGCGCTGTGAAAAGTAACAGTTAGCACTGTGCACTTTCTGTCTTTGCTTGGCTTTAGTAGCGGTCTAGATATTAATTTACTCCTGAATAATAACCGTGAAGGACTTTAATAGCCATTAAAATGAAAATACACCGTGAATAGTTAAAATAAGATAATTATTATTTAGAATTATAGACAACGGTTGGGCCACTAAGCCACGCCCACACATGATATGCTTCTCATTTGTTGTTCAATGCTGTGGCGTCATGGCTAAAGTTGTTTAGCTGCTGTGCTAACCTGTTTTACTATTTGAACATATCCACACACTTGTACAATCTTCACAGTTGGTTTACATCCCTTGAAAGTGTACAAGCTGACTAACATGCACCCTCGTGTTCATATCCAGCTAATCTAACGTTACAGTTAACTTAGAGCTTGACTGTCAGTTTATAACGTTAAACATATAACATTGATTTCTGATCTTTTCAAAGCTGTCAGGATGCCTGAAATCAAAATCACGCCTTTAGGTAAGACGTTTGCTTAATTTTGTAGGTAACATTTCTGAAAAACGTGTATAAATAAGCCATTGTCAAACATGTGATAATATACAAATATTATTATATTAATCAGCATGTTTTTGTGTTCAAGTGTTAATGGTAATTTGCTTATTATACCTTAAAACAACTTATTACACATGTATATTAGACTTAATATATATCATATAATAATACCATATTGCGTGCATAGGCATTTTGAATGCATTTTGTGTTTGTGTTGTGTGTATAATATATATATATATATATATATATATATATATATGTTCACGTTTCATATCATTATGAATAACTTCATTAGAACTACATTAAAATAACTATATATACGTGATTCTATATTATTTAGATGTTATAATTTGATAATATATATCGATGCAGTTCTAAAGCAAGTTCTTCTGAATGTGTTTTCTGTCAGGGGCTGGTCAGGACGTCGGCCGTAGCTGTATTCTGGTCTCCATCGGGGGCAAAAACATTATGCTTGACTGCGGGATGCACATGGGTTACAACGATGATGTGCGTTTCAACAGTTCTTGCTACGTTCACATAGTGTGTATTTTGAGTATACTTCTGTAGTCTACTAGTCCCTTACCTTTCTGTGTTTTATTTCAGAGACGTTTCCCAGATTTTAGTTACATTACCCAGAACGGTCGCCTCACTGAGTTCTTGGACTGTGTCATTATAAGGTTAGTTTATACTTGAGTTGTATCATGTGACGGTTATGTGAGTTGTCCTCCTCTTCATTGTGATTTCTCCTCCTTTATTTTCCTCTCAGTCATTTCCATCTGGATCACTGCGGTGCTCTTCCCTACATGAGCGAGATGGTGGGTTACGACGGGCCCATCTACATGACCCACCCCACCAAAGCCATCTGTCCCATCCTGCTGGAGGACTTCAGAAAGATCACAGTCGACAAAAAGGGAGAAACCAACTTCTTCACTTCACAGATGATCAAAGACTGTATGAAGAAAGTTGTGCCACTCAACCTCCACCAAACAGTTCAGGTAAAGTTCATTGACTAAATTAATTCATTAAAATTACTTTTTTTTTAAATTATTTTAGTTAATTCATTAATTTAAACCGGTTTAGTAATTTAATATATATTTTTTTATTGTAGAATTTTCCCTATTGGAAATGTTTAAAAAGAAAGTATAATTTAAGCTTCAAAGATGTGTTTATGTTGCTAATGGTTGCTTTTTTTGTGATAATTTTATCTGACTTATTAATTATCTGTTGTTGTTTTTTTATTTTTGTTGCCTCATCAAGGTAGATGAAGAGCTTGAGATCAAAGCGTACTATGCAGGTCATGTGCTAGGAGCCGCCATGGTTCAAATCAAAGTTGGCTCGGAGTCTGTTGTCTACACAGTGAGTGTCACATGACCTATTGCATACTCTTAAACATATGATGTTCCAGCTATTGACTTAATTTGCTAATTATATCTAAATCAATTTGTATAGGGTGATTACAACATGACACCAGACAGACATTTGGGGTGAGTAAAATCTCTTTTTGTCACATATTTTATGTAAGTAATTTTTAAAGGGATAGTTCACTCAAAAATTTTAATTCTGTCATCTTCAGAACACAAATTAAGATGTTTCTAATAACACCTGAGCTAGTTTTGTCCCTCCATTGACAGATACGCAACTACCACTTTGACGCTCCAAAATTTTCATAAAGAGATCGTAAAACTAATCCATATAAATTCGGTTTATTCCAAACTTTCTGGAGAGACTCGGTCGCTTTATATGATTGAATACGGATTGAATTTAGACTTTTATTCACATTTAAACATTCATCAGCAAACATAAACATGCTTGACGTGCAAGAACAAACCTCATTGTTTGATTTTAAAATGTATATTTTAATATGTTTATTGCATAAATTTGATATAATAATTATTTTTGTTAATTAGTCATTTACTCTTGAATATATTTCTTTGGTTTATATTTGTTCTTACCGCGCATGTTCAGTGACTTTTATTTTGTAGCGCATTTTGACGCACATGCAATAAGTGCAGACGC